TTCTTGTATTTCCTCTTGCGTGCTGTAATAGGGTATATGATTAACACATCCAGCTAGCGTTGAAAGATCTACAACTCGATACAAGTGGGATTCAGGTTGTCAGCTGATCTGGACGTAACAACGCACTAGATACAACCAATCCCACATTGCGGAAAGACTCAAATACAGAGGTGATGGAATCCATGACAGCGGCATATGGGTTTGAGCTGGGATCTCTCTCGGTGGTCACACTGACCTGCATGTGTTTCATAGAGGAACTTTGACCGGTGTGAGATATTGAGACTAGATCCTTGATCAATATATCCGCCCATATGCCTTTGTCATGGATTTCTTCTGATAGACGACATTGTGAGACCATACCGAGCTAAGGTTGCTGAAGAATATCTTGAGTGTCATGGTATGGAACGGATGGATTGGCCAGCTCAATCCCCAGACCTGAATCCGATAGAGCATCTTTGAGACTACCTTAGGAGAGAGGTTGCTTATTTAAGTCCTCCTCCAAGGTCGTTAGATGAGAAGCTTAAACAAGGATTACTCCATGTCTGGTCGTTGCTTTCCATTTGATTGACCGACAACTTAATGGACAGCATGGAACGTCGCTGCCGACAATGTACTGCAGCTAGGGGTAGACACATTCCTTATTAGAACCCATTCTTGTGATGTTACCATACCATTTTTCCTCACGAAACTAGTTTGTTTCTCCCAAACTGGATTTCTCTGCCAAGAGTGCCATATTTTGTTGAAATTCATGTTTTGTGTTGAACTTTAGAAATATTCTACGTCGCGTTCATTAAAGAACTGTTTAGTGAACATGTTCTGTAAATTTCTGGTTTCATCCAGAAATTGTTCATCCATTTTTCTGGTTTATGTTGCTTCATCCTCAAACTTGACACAAAAAAACATAGTGTTCCTGAACTTTTGAGGGGAAGTGTATATTTTGCATGGTCTGCTGATAATTCAATAAGATCTTCACGGCGTTGCTCTTATGCTCCTCCCTAAGCTTCCTAAAACGAACATGATACCTAAGTGGATAGCTGAATTGAGCGTCAGGGATACAGTAAGTCGTATTATTTAGTGAAAGCGATGTTAAGGTTGTTGCGTATATTTCTCGCGGTACTCGGCTAGAGGGCTTTGTGAGCGTTTCAATAGGCAAGTGACAGGCAAGAGGCTAAAAGGTGTAGGACAAGGAAAGCAGAGATGCCTAATAACTTAAGCAGTTCGATTTTGTTATATTCGTTTTAAATAAGTTTTGTTGTTGTTTCCAAAAGCCTCATTATGCACCATTAGACACATTGAACCATCAACCATCAGACGCCAAAAATGTATTTTCCACCCTTTAACGAGAGGTCACATGTTTAGAAAACTGGTGTAGTATAGAGCTTTAAAAGCCATAAATAGATATTTTATACGCGATAAGCACTTTATTTGCCAGATTTCTCTCCCGTCTAAGGCCGTTGTTTTTATCATGAAGACAGATAGCTGTATGACGTCAACGTTTTCAGCCAATTCATATTATCCAAAACGACAAGACCGTCAAATTGTCATAGAGAACAAAATACTTTTAGAAACGCCGGTAATTCAGCTGAAAATGCATATGCTCCTATGGATTTGGGCCAACCAGTGGCCGAGCGGTAAACTCGCTGAACACTGGTAGTTCGGTCTGAGGTTCGAATCCCGTGAACGGGCTGGTTGCATGGGCGTTTTCGTGGTTTTCCCCATGTGTAACGTGTATACGAGCCAGTTTCCCTTAGAAAGTCCTCGACGAAGGCATCTCTCCTCTTAGGCAGATAACCCTCGAGGGTTTGCCATAATCACATAAAACTAAACTTAACTCCTTCGGATTTAATTTAGAAGCTGATTATGCAATATGGTTTTACATTTCAAATGCAATTTATCTGCTAGTACTTTCCTCAAATGTTTTAAATATATAAATTCCGTTATGTAAATGGTGTTATCTGTTAGTTAAAAGCACAGTATTTTTATGTTAAACAATAATAATATCGGATTTAGCATTATTTTTTCTTACGCAAATAAAAGCAAAATTTTACTTTTCGGCGATGGAAAGTTAGTATACAGTAAACAACTACGCCCCAAGAATTAGATAGCCCTCAGCGCTTCGATTTAACAGCCTTTTTGAAACCTGCAATTGTGATAAAATTGCCGAGGCACGCAAGAAGGCAAAACATATTTATTAAACGTATATAAAACGTATGAGTCATCTTAAAAAAATACGAAAATGTAACTTCTTGTTAAAAACGAGGAAATCATTACTAAATTGGACATTTTTTAAATGATAGCATTAAACCAAATTCAGCAAAAACGTCTGCAAGAAATTATTAATTTACGAGTGAAAATAATAAAATCTGCTTCAAATGAAATTAATTCAAAATATTATAAGTATCAACTAAGTATAATTTAAATTTATAAGTTGCAAGCCTAGGTTAAGAGGCCGCCCAGACGGTATAGTGGGTAGCGGAGCCAAATGCGATACTGAAAGGCCCGGGTTCGAATACCGGAGAAGGCATGGATGTACAAGTGTTTGTCCTCTCATGCGAGTTAACGTTGCCCACCGTTTCTAGCCTTAGGAGTGGCTAGTGCTGAAAAATGGAAAGCCCATCATTCGTTAAAAAAAATAGATGAGCTGAAGAGTAAGAATAATGAATGCGAGAAAAGAAGGAAATTATTATTTATTTCAAATCAGACATTTATTATAACTAAAAACATTTAGAAATTTCAACTTCAATACACTTCATTTAAAACCTTTTTCATAAAACCTTCATACACTACCTTACTTGCTAAATTTTTCTGAATTGAAAATACTATTTTTACACTTGAAATGATTTTATGGTTCGTGATGCTTTCATTTTGCACGTAGAAAAGCGTTTTACAATTTCATATAGCTTCATAAAGCCCGGCACCATATCTGGTTGATTTTTGGTTTCTTTTACACTCCTACTGAATCCAAAACTTAAAACTAAATCTCAAACACCTGAAATGAATAAACGAAGCAGAAATAAACTCATAACTCTTTTGTTGTGTTGCTAGATTTAGTTAGTTGCAAAACGAAAATACACAAAGAATAACTTCCGGCTTCAGTTCGCCTTAAGTTTTACCCTTCAATCAAGAAAGTCTACTTGGTTACAGCTTTTTAATTTAAATCCCTGGGGGAATTCTGCGTCGAAAACATAATTTACAAACACGCAATGCGCTAAAACTATTGTTCAAAGAACGATGAATGCAGATATAAATACCGTAGTTATCAGAGAATATCATTTTGAAATATAAACGGTGGATGATTCATATGGAACAACGATCATTCTGGGAATGATAGTTGGAGGCTTTAATATGCTATTATTATTGAAATGATAGGATATTATTATAGGCATTAACTCAAATTATCCTAAGCGAAACAACATTATCGAAAATGAAAATTGTAATATTTTCTTTACAAACAAGGAAAATGCAAATTCTCTACTTTTCCTGACAAAAATATTGCTTGGAAATATGCATTCCCCCTTGCGGTTGAGCAGTTCTGAAGGGGATAAAGTATACAATCCCGCGGTGGTAGAAGTCAAGACATCGTCCTGACATACCTGTTCAGGGTGTGTGTAGTCCTAGATATCAACGTGGCAAGCCGTGATTCTCTCCAGCATGTTGCGGCAATGTGATGCCCGAAATCCTGACTGTCTATCGGAAATTCAAGCTATGTTGTTTTTAAATATTTTATGACATTACTGTTGAATTGAATTTTTAAGTGGTTTAGGTGGAAAGAACCGGAAATTTAATAAATAAAGGTAACATACAGAACGTTAAGAAAACGTCTAATATAAAATCTGAAAGCTTTTTTTATTTGCTTTTATGATTAAATCAGCATAAAGAGACAATAAAAAGCAGAATATATTTCTTAAAAAAGCTTATAAATAAATTTTAATTAATGTGCTGCAGACAGTCGGAAACGAAATCTTCGGCAGACAGTCCATAACTAACAAATATTAAATAAAGGTCAATAACATCCGAGAGAAGAAAACCTTTCAACCATGAACTGTGAAGACAGTACTATTATTGAAAGGATATCTCCTCATTCAATAACTGGTTAATAATAGAAGCTTTTGCGAATGTGCTACATTGTTTTTCTGTAGATGTTGCAGATTTGCTCTGAATTATTCTGATGATGTTGTTGTAAAGAAACCAATTTTTATAGCAAACTGTCATTTGTCCCAATACCTAAAATGTTTCTTCTACTCTTCGTTTCTTTCAGGTAAACTATGCAATACAATGTGTACAATTTCGTACAGATCCCAAGAGGTAAGCCTTTTCTCCAATGTTCACTGCCGACTTCCAGATTTCTCCGTTGATTTTGCTAAAATAATCTCATCATGCAAGTTGACTTCCAACGGCCTTCATCTTTCAATTTTTCAGATCTTGACCATTTTACCCCAGTAGTTTCTTCGTCCCGTTATTGAAACGTTAAAATCAAAGATAGCATGTGCAATCAGATACAACATATCGCCGTATATGTATGTACGCCATATGTAATTTGGATTGCTTTTATTGCAACGTATCCTAGATCTTGCCCACAAAAAAAGGGGAGAAAAGGCTGATGTACACTGATTCTTAATTTCCTTCTTCCTGCCAGTCAATTAAAAGTAATATGGGACGCACATAACAGCGTGTTTTCCTAAATAAAATCGACACCCATATTTTCCTGCTATCATGTGCTGAACGCTGGAAACTTTTCCTAGGGACAGAAGTGTTGCCACAATTGAAACGCAAAAATATCTGCAGATAGGAAATATGTAGCAAGATCTTGAAGCTGGAAAAACGTCACTGTTACAGACAATTCACTAAAAGAAATTCGATCCATCCTTGTGATTTTAACTTGACACATTGATCAGTTTCCTACCTGTAAATGCCTTCGTGTGTCCTCTGCGGTAATTGTTTTTTTTAATTTATAGTAATGGGAAAAAATGTTTTTACAAAATGTGAAAAATGAAAATAGAGCCTTTTCTTAACTGCCTTATAGCTTTATACTTAATCTTTCTTACATCACAGATATGAATGCATAAATTAGAACAGCGTAAGAAAAGATAAGTTACACAGCATAATTTCAAATCATTAAGCTTTTGTGCAAGTTATTAAATTTATTGAAAATAATCTATCACTTGTATAATTCTTGAAAATTGTTCTTCGCCTAAAATAACATTATTTAACAACGCAATTTCTTTTAACAATGTGGTGAATAATGAAGCTGTAAAACTGATTTTGTAAGGGGAACGCTTGCATCTTGAGACCCCTGCTGCTATTTAAATAAGTGTATTTCTTGAATGTATCTATTTAACCACGTTACATCTTCTTTCGCCATTTCCTGTGAGATAAAAATACATTTATACTATTCAGTTAATTTTAGTACGACAACATAACAAATATATAAAACAAGTAGAAATATTTTTATCATGAAGTACAGTTAAATAAAGCTAGAAGAAATATTTGTTTTATTGCATATTAAGAAAAGATTGAAAATGTTATAAGCAAGAATAATTGTAAGAAATGTCAACAATGTAGAAACAAAATAACTTACTAGTTATTACTTTAAAAAACAGTAATTTCCGTAAATATTATAAAGTGTTCTGTTATTTATTGTTTTGTAACGCAACAGGTATCAAGGTCACAGCCGAATTCTTCCCAAATGAGTCTCAGCATGTCCATGTCAAACGTCACAGTAGCTACCGTGTTGCTGTTTAAAATCATCTTAATTGGAAAGAGCGGGAAATCGGCTCGTGATGTATCCTCCAAGAAACACGGACACGGGACATGGTTTTTAGCTTGGTACCTTGACAGGCAATATGCCAGACCCATGCTCTGGTCTGTTGAACAGCAAGTCAATACATACGCAAATTTTCGTGTCAGATTTCGTCCATAACATTTTCTAAAATAACGCTGTATCATAACCACATAATTTGATTGTTCACATTTAAGTACATAAAAACTTTCTGTACCATATTAGCGGTACATATTGCTTGTCTGATGTCAAGAGCACCCAGGTGATGCTGACCGCAGAAATCAAACAACTGAATGATGTCACAAGCTTGAAGATATCCTCTACGGCGATATAAAAGCATATAAATCAGCAAAGGTATTAAATGCTTCCTGCTAAGCAAATAGTTTTCGATTTTTAAATACTTTATCAATTTCCTAAAGGCTTTTTTACATAGATGCACTTTTTAAACTATTTGTTTTCTGTTAAACACAGTAGACTTCAGATTCCCTTCGATCAAATCTTTCAATATTAAATGCACTTTTATTTCTTCTTCTTTTTTTTTCCCCTTCAATTAATATTATATAAAGGGTTGCATAGATCAAGATTCTGAAGATTCGAGAGATTTCAGACCGTTTAAAATTGCAATTTTCAGTCGATAATTGTAAAACTTATCCAACTCATAGTAATTTTGTTATTAGTAGTCCTATAAGAGATGTAACGAATGCACAAAACTAAAGTATGATTTAAATAAAGTGAATATGGCTTTTACATGTACTACACGTTTTGCTTCGATTTTTAAAAGAAGGACAAAATTACTTTTGGTTTAGTGTTCTTTAACTGCTTAAAGAAGTAATTTTCGGTTTGCTGCAAAATTATCTCTTCTACGCAGACTCAACCGATCATACTATTGCTCAGTCTCCCAAGAAGGAAACACGAATATTCTAAACAAAGAATAGTTACAATTACTTTCATTCTTTCAAAACAGTTTCTTACATATGACTGTACACATTTATTAATAAAATACTTAAAGTCAGCATTTAAGATTATAAACTCCCGTTTCCTTAACTAACACTAGGTTAAGCTCTAAGCTAGAACACCAGCGTTTTTGTCCGCACGTCTATTGCAATCTGAGAGTGCTGCAAGAGCACAAAAGAAGAATATAAAATAACTATAATTTAATTTAGTCTTCAAAACACTTTCTACAAATCACACGTAACACAAAAATACTTTAGCTTTTCATGTGAATAACAGAGAACACGTGAATTCATATTTATATAAAATTGCAAGTTAAATTCTTTCCTGTTATCTCTATCGGTTGCTTACGAAATAATTATCTAATATGTAGCAGCAAAATAGCAATTCACCAGTCACAGAATCATCCCGCACGTCGAGTATAGCCAAATAAATTTATTTAAGGATTGTAAATGATAACTCTTAGCTTGCTAATTTAGATTTTTTACGCTAAGTTAGACCTCACTCATTTATGCATTCTGTTGAAAACAAATGAAACAGTAGATATATGGGGCAGATCTTAATGTAAGCAAAAGTATCAATTAAAATAAAACTTGCGGGATAAGGATTAAAATACATGTTAACAAATATATACTTACTTCCTGAAGAAAATCAAAAAGGACATTAGGATGATGAGAAGAATAATTCCAATAACTATAGCGATGGCAATTCTCTCTTTTAAAGTCTCTGTAAATGCAAGAATTCAAATATATTATTATGTAGCGCACAAATAACAAAAATAACAAACTTAATCATTAATCAAATATCTGACGATTACTTACAGGGCTAAGCGATGTAAAGGTTGCGGAAATAAATGAAGTTTTAGAGAATTTTTCGAAGTAAGATTTAGAAAAACAATTTAGCTTAGCACGAGAAACGAAAGCAAATAAATGAAAGGACAGAAGAAAATTAACAGTGCACTTTAATACCAATAAAGAGATTTAAAACGAATTTGAGCAAATGCAGTTGCTGTTGGTATAAGAATCTGAGAACTTGTACAGTTTTTTTTTTTATTATTTACTTCTCTATATGCATGAAAACGTCCCTGGTAGCTTACTTTACTAAACAAACCCTAATTTTCCTAAGCTACCATGAGAAGAGGTAATTTCTTAATTTCTAATGAGATAATGCCTGTAGAACTATAACCCTGGATTTATGTTCTTCTAATATACTGCCATAAGTTTTAGGACACATTTCAAGATGTACATATGTATATCTTCTAAAGGACACATTAAAACGTATTCTAGTTCCTATACAGTATACCGCCTTACAATTCATTGGGTTGCGAAAGCCCGAAGCAGTATATAAAAATAACTGAATATGGCTATGGCTGATTTACAAAATCATTGATTCAAAATGCTTTTCACCGTTTTCTTCACTGGATTAAATCTTGCAAAACAATTAACAGTATTAACGATCATGACTTAATTTCCTTGATTGTTTTCAATTAGTAACAAATATTTGTTTAGATAATTTTTTGCTATATTAAAATGTCATTTAAAAGGATAACTTCAGTTTTCTCTCCTAGTAATGTAAATAATAACATGTATTAAATTTAATATTTTCTAAGAAAATAATTATTTTGCTTTTCTTTCTTAAATATTACCTCAAAATTCAAAATTAGATTAAACTTAGATTTTTGAATGAAATTATCCAAGGCAATCAGACACAGGTGCGTTGTCTTCAGGAGGGAAAAACTATTTATCTCAATACCCATGATGTTGCAGATAATACCTACTGAGTAACTCATTATCCTGGTATCAAAGGTTGTAAACAAGAGCTGAAGCTCGAATACTAGCTAAAATATGTTCCTATGTAACTGCAATGTTCATTCCAAACAGAAGGCTTGAAAGTTTAACCTGCCTGACAGTCCTGCCAAGGAGTTTGAAATCTAACGAACAGAAATATTTTCTTGCCCTATACATCATTATTTACAAATATCTCTGGTGCAAAATCTGACTAATAACAATTAGAGTTACTACGTAACAACATCAAATATCAGAAATGACAAATAAATGAGCATTATGCCATTTTAGCAATGTTGCGAAGTTCAATTCTAATGGTTTTTATAATTAGTTATGTTTTATTTTTTAAATGGTAGAATCTGTTTCAAATTACTTACTTAAACTGGTAGGGCATAATAATAATTATGATAATAACTTCGCATTTAAATAATCAAATGTTGAGTTTAAATATTATTTTATGAAGAAAATTAGAAAAAGGACGGGTGTCTGAGAATATTTCAAAACCGATTAAGAAACTCAACGACATATTTTAAGTTGTATTTCTACATCTGAGAGATTTAAAAGGTTGCCCCCACTAGAATTCGATCCGATAAGTATAGGAACTTTAAGAAACAGAAAGGTCTCCCTTTAATGGCGAAGGTAAATTTTCTTTCCGGTGGCAAAGAAATCATCAAGTAAAATGCTTATCATTTTTGGTCATAACGACATGATTTGATGATGAATAAATACTTTGGGTAAATGGTTGAAAGAAAGAGCGACAGAGTGGACAAGCGACAGAGTGGCCATATAGCAGTGGATGGAGAAAAAGGAAAAGCAAAGTAAGGATTCTGAATACTCCCCTTTACTTTGGTGCATAAATGTGGTATAATGTCCATAGCACGGTGAGGAGAGGTATAAAGCCTGCGAGAAAATAAATAGTCCGACGGAGCGATCACTGGCATGCGCCGCTTGGATTGTTGGACGGAGACAATGAAAAATAACTAGAAAAAAGTAAAGAAGAGAAACGAAAAGGAGAGTGAGGGCAAGGCGGAGTTTTGGCCCTGGATGTCGGAGGAGAATGTCAAATTACCAGGTGTTAAAATTCTCGGAAGGGGACGAGAATTTGGGAGATTGCGGCTGATGCTTCAGATCATGCCGTCAGTGCGGGTTTAATGCAAAAAGGGTATTCTTTGGTATTTTTTAGCAAAACGTTAAACGCTACACAACGGAATTACACAACAACCGAACGAAAAACGTGATCTGTGTTAATGGCAGTTCAGAAGTTCAGAGCTGATTTTGTGAAAACACCGGTTACTGTATATTCTGACCATGCGGCCGCAGGTAGACTATATTCTGGAAAGAATTTGATTTCCAGACTAATTGAGATGGGCCCCAAAAGTTACAGGAATATAATTTAATAATTACGCATACTTCCGGCAAAGAAACTACAGTGGCCGACGCATTATCAAGAATCAAACTGGATGAAAATGGTGATCAAATAAAATGTGCTAAGTTAACGTCTAAAGTTCTAGATTCCCGAGAAAAAAATAATTTCTGAGTTGGTAAATGATCCAGAATTCGGTAATATCTATGCTGATTTAAAGGATCCAGATAATTTTGAATATCTGGATATTGCTGTAATTAGACGAACTAGCATATGTTTAAAAACTGCCAAACATGATATGACGGAAAAAAAAGGCCGTTGATTTATTTCTGGCTAGGAAGATCGTGACACTATTAGATAATTTATTTTTCGTCCAAGAACGGGAGCCCCAAATTACTGGATTGTAGATAATTTGCTGTTCTGGACTAAATCAACAGATGAAAACCACGAATATAGGCCAGTCATCCAAGCCAATTTACGGCTAAGCCTTTTGCAGGAATTGCATGACTCACTAGCGGCGGACCACTTAGGGGTGAGGAAAACGGTGCATAGGGTACGCGAGGCGGTGTATTTTCCGCAACTACAGAAAGTAGTGGCTGCGTATGTCAGATTGTGTAATTTATGCCAGTTAATTAACGACGTTAATTATAACCCGGAAAGGTATCAAACTAGTTTTCGCGCAATTTTTTTCTAATGAAATTCTTAGAATAGACATTCTTCGCCAATTTTCCCAAAGTGAGTTAAATAAAAACCGATATCGTTTGATGATTGCCGATCGTTTTTCTAAGTGTATAGAAATAATTCCATTAAAGCAAGCGCCGGCGAAAATAGTCCCATATGCGATTTTACACAGGTATATTCTAAAATACGGTGCATAGTTAAAAGTAATAAGTAACAATGTTAGGCAGTTCGTTAGTCACATTTTCGAAAATTTGTGTAAAAGGCTTGACTTACGACATATGAAAAAGGTCCCGTACAGACCACAGGCAAACAACGCGGAACGAGTTAATAAAAACATTGTTAAAATAATGAGCACTATGTGAAAAATTATCATAAGTGCTGGGATGGCTGCATTGACGAACTAGCATAAGTTTAAGAACTGCCAAGCATGATATGACGGGAAAAAATGGCCGCTGATTTACACTCATGTCATAAATTAAGGATAATTCGGAAATAGAACTCTAAAATAAATATATCACCTGTAAAAATCGCTACACACATCTTCAAGAATCATATGCAAATTTCAGGAAGTAACCAGTGATACAGATGGTACGTCAAAATGACGAGAGTGTAAGAGAGTGATATATAAGAAATATAGGCAAAGAAGTAAAATTGTTCGCAGACGGTTTATAAGAATTTTAGTGCAATAACCGAATAGTTATGACACAAAAGGACGCATTTGGATGATTTTTTACGTGGTAGAAATATCGGCTGTCTAGAATGTGGGCGTACCCAACTGGAAATATCAGACGAACTTGGAATTGCCTAGAGTGTCATCTCAAAGCCTTGGCAACGATTCCAAGATAATGATAAATGTGAGTAGAAGTTACAGCACAGGTCACCCCAGAGTTACAACGCCGAATGAAGACCGATATTGTCTCGTCAGCTCTCTTCAGCTACTGGCACGACAATTTCAAGGCAGACTGTGTACAGACGCTTAGGGCAGATTGGTCTATATGCTCGTAGACCTGTCAGATGCGTTCCACTTACTGCAACTCACTGTCGCCTGCGGTTAGCCTGGGGTAGAGAGCATACATTGTGGACACCGAAACAGTGGGCTTGTGTGATGTTTTCCGACGAGTCCAGGGTTAGCTTGCAGTCTGACTATCATATCTGACTTTCATATGGAGAGCTCCAGGTACCCGTTACCACCAAGAAAACATCATTGAACGACACTGTTACGGTGGTGCAGGAGTGCTCGTTCGGGGTGGAATTATTCTGGGTTCCAGAACTGACCTGCATGTAAATTGGAACCATGACAAGCCAAATATATCGGGACGTCATTCTGGAACCACATGTACGTTTGTTTCGGGACGCCATGGATGCACAATTTGTGTTTATGGATGACAACGCCCGTCCTCACCGTGCAAACATTGTAAGCGAATGGCTTCAATCGGAGAATATCACCCGTATGGACTGGGCACACGTATGGACCATTCTCACCGGACTTGAATCCAGTAGAGCACGTGTGGGATATGCTTGGCCGACGAGTTGCAGCCCTTCAACCTCCTCCTACATGTCTACCGGAGCTTCGGAGAGCATTCCTTTTTGAGTGATGTAATACCTCCCAAGATCAGATCGATAATTTGATACTCAGCATGCCTAGACGTTGCATTGCTGTATTGCATCGTCTGGGAGACGTACAATGTATTAACAATCATAGCAACCGTGTAATATTGGTTTTTCGTAAATAGGTGTTTTTTGTAATTTGCTCCAGGGAGAAAAAATCGGTAATATTTTTAATAATATCAAACATATAGCATCTTTTTTGCTCTTTACCTTTTGTTTAATAAATAAGCTTTACGAAAAAGTCAAATTTGTTTTGCTTCTAACTCTTCCTTTGTCTGATTTTGCATTGTCCTTAATTTATGGATATGAGTGTATTTCTGGGTAGGAAGATCGTGACACTATTAGATAAATTATTTTTCGTCCAAGAACGTATCAAGGCGTAGCTGTAATTATATTATGACAGAAAACGCCGTGAGTGGAGGTTAAATCGCTGAAAAGAAAATTCATTCTAGTGCACCAGAGAAACTTAGATCGAAATTCGCCAATAGGTTTGAAGGGCCTTACGTCGTTCAGCAGATCGTCGGTGCGGTTATTTATGTTACTTCAGATTCGAGCAAAGCCCAGTCCGGATCAATTAAGAGATACTATGAGCGTAAAGACTTTGATGTGTTTAATAGTTTCTTGCAGGCTTCCGAAACAGAAACGGTGGCATAATCAAGGGCGGTTTCGGCCCCACCAGCGCTTCCACCCCCAGAAAAAAGGCAAATAAAAGGCCAGGTGACAAGGCCTGAGACAACCCGATGAGTTCCCCAGAAAAGAGCCCCTCGACAAATGGAAGGTCCAACGAGGAACAAATTTAAGGATGAAAGATCGTCGAGAAGAAAGGCCCAGCTAGAAAGAAAGCTTGCAGTACCCTGACAAGATCTCGTAGCAGACAACACCAGAATACTGCAAGCAGGCGGCACACGAAAAGGACTGTACAAGCAACAACACGGGCGAGTAAAACGAAGAGACCTGCCGAAGCTCTAGGCCCACAGCAAGGACGGAAGCAATGGAGAATCACCAGGCAAGAGTCCTCGATTACCGACGCTCCAAGAACGAGCGTCCCAGCCAGCAAAAGGTGGTGTGGTGGTGTATTTAATTATGGCAAAGCACACTAGGGCTATCTGCCTAAGAGGAGGGATGCCTTTCGTGGAGGACTTTCTAAGGGAAACTGGCTCGTATACACGTTACACATGGGGAAAACCACGAAAACACCCATGCAGCCAGCCCGTTCGCGGGATTCGAACCTCGGACCGAACTACCAGTGTTCAGCGACTTTACCGCTCGGCCGCTGGTGGGCCCGCCAGCAAAAGGAAAAGACGAGAAATACCACTTCAATCCTAAAAGATGTATATTCAAAGGGGAAGAGAGACCAGACCAGCCCCAAACAGTGGAGAGAAAGCAGAGATTGGGGATTTTCACTGTGAATTATCTCACATGGAAGGATTTCTGCAATAAATGGATGGCTGAGTACGAAGCAAAAAAAAAAAAAAAAAAAAAAAAAAAAAGATAAGGGAATTTTTCAATACATCTGTTCGTAAAGTTACATGAAAACCTTTCAAATACGAAGTTACATTGTCAAGCCAATTGTCTCGGTTGAGGACTAAAGTTATTTTTGTTTTATCTGGCGAAAGCACAAAGCTATAGTGCAATGTAGAAATGTAATATTAATGTAAGGAACTAGCAGTTCGGTTTTGTTTGTCGAAAGACTAATCATGTTAAGACGCCAAAATTTCTGGCCTGATACAAGCAGCTTCGTATTAGTACTTGTTAATGAATATTTGTTTTTAGGTTCGCACTTTTGGCGAGAAGAGGCATTAAGTAAAATTATTTTAATTTTATTCTTTATTGTGGTAAAAGTATGTGATTGTAAAATGTGAAAATATATGTTAAAATAAAAAACACTGCAAATGTAGGTTTAAATTTCAAAGAGCATATATAATAACTATCTAGTGCTAAAATTCTCAGAATGTCAAGTATGTATTTAAAAGTTAATATATTGAAACTTTAATGTATGCAAAAGAAAATCTTGAAATGGCACAATTGAAAAATTTAGCCAAATCATGCGTTTTAGAGCGAAAGCTTGCATATGTTATAGCCCGAATGTGGGGAAACTTTTGTATGAATGTGTTTTGTATGACTCTCCACTCACATCTTAATGTTAATCTTTATTAGCTCATGGAGAATTAAGAAGGGAATTTAGGGAGTATCTAATGAAGGTTGCTATGAGCTAACAAGTTGATGTGTGTTTAGGTGGCGCTTTTGTTCACATTGACATACAGCACTTGCCTTTTTCGCCACACATTGTGGAGAGCCAAAAAGGGATTAAACTAAAGTAAAGCATGAATGTATGAGTAAATGTGACCCGTAAAAACCGTAGTGTTCGGCGAACGTAAGAAATCTACGTTAAATACAAGAGGGTTAGAAACTCAATAAAAGTATCATTGTTTGTGAAAGGTGGTGGTGTGGTGTATTTAATTATGGCAAAGCACACTATGGCTATCTGCCTAAGGGGAGGGATGCCTTCAGGGAGGACTTTCTAAGGTAAACTGGCTCGTATACACGTTACACATGGGGAAAACCACGAAAACGCCCATGCAGCCAGCCCGTTCGCGGGATTCGAACCTCGGACTGAACTACCAGTATTCAGCGACTTTACCGCTCGGCCGCTGGTGGGCCGCTGTTTGTGAAAGTAAAGTGTCATTTATTGTTTGATAGGAATTTGTATTTATAAGTATTCCTTTCAGATGCCTGGAAGGACAAGATTGAATGCCATAATCAGGAAGTACAAGGAAGCAAGTTCAGCGGAAGGCAAAGTAAGAAAATATTACTTCTATTATAGTAAAATTACTAGTTTCAGGGTTTTGTACGTAAACGAGGCTCAAGGCCTATTAGATGTAGAATTTAACACTTTGCAACAAGTTTTATTAAACTTTATATAAGTCTGCTGAATTCTGGCAGGGATAACTCTAGAGACGTATATTTATTTTAACTAACAAGTTAAATTTTACTTTTAAACTTTCCTATAAGCCATCGTTCCCTTAATTGTCAGTGCCAGAATGTTTAGATTTGGTAGCACTCGTGAAGGAATTCTATCTTGTGGGTAAAACGTTTAAATACTGGGTTCCAAAAGGAATGTTAGAGAGAGTTAGGCTACTACCTAATTCTCTCTAACATTCCTTCTGGAACAAATTGGTTGTCTCTGTTGCGTGAGCGTCTACTCCCAGAGTTATTGCTAGTTTGCGTGGCATAACAGCATTTTACTTTGCGGCCAGTAGTTTTGACGCGGGTTTAAGATACAGGAATATCTGAACCATGTAGCTTAATTTCGACTTCTTGTGAACATCTTCGAATTTTTAGTTTATTTCTGTGATTTCAGTTACCGCCCAAGGGAGGCGTAGTTTGTTAGTGTCGAGTTGACGCACTGTAAATTTTAAAAAGTTTAATAAAGGATACTTTTAACCCTTCTCCTGTGTAGTTCCTACAAGAACGTGCTACACGTACAGTTGTTACTTGGAAGATAAACATGTGTGAAAGAAACGAGCCCCACATAATATAATAATAATTTTTTCCATTTATACGAGTCATATACAACATGTGGTTAACTTGTTTGCTACAGAAATAGACTGGCCCACCAGCGGCGGAGCGGTGAAGTCGCTGAACACTGGTAGTTTGGTCCGAGGTTCGAATTCCGAAAACGGGCTGGCTGCATGGGCGTTTACGTGGTTTAACCCATGTGTAACGTGTCTACGAGCCAGTTTCCCTTAGAAAGTCCTCCACGAAGGCATCCCTTCCCTTAGGCAGATAGCCCTAGTGTGCTTTGCCATAATTAAATAAACCAAACCAAATCTACAGAAATAGACTATGGCAAATTTAGACTTGAACCATACAATTCGGTTTTTCAAGCCAAATTGGTTGTTATCATAAAAAAACTTCCTTCATCAAGAAATTACCTCTTATAAGTGGATATTTTTGTAATTGTTTTTATTGAACGCCTTTACGCAGTTATTACATGTGTTTGTAAACATAAATTTTTTTAGTTTTATCAGCATAATATATTTCTTGTAATAATATATGATCGTGTTTGTCATGTAATAGTAAAACAAATGCTTTCGAAGGTTTAAACTTACGTTTTTCTCATTTTCTGTGTGAAAAGGAAATCACATAGCTTTTTAAAAATAATTGTATATTTTTTTACGAATATTATATAAATTTGTCCTAAATATAGGTTTATATATCGATATTTGTAAAATAGTACGTAATTTAATCCAGTTTATTTTTGAAAATTTTAAACTAGTATTTGTTTCAAGGCTGCATACATTTTTGTCTGATCAAAAAACCTCAAAGTTCATGCATTTTCTATTACTGTACTGTATTAATTTTAGTGTTCTTATTTGATTTGATCATAGCTATTTAAGTATCTTTAATATTCTTAATGCGTTAGATAAGAATATATCTTCTACGTATAGTTACAAAAACAAGCATATAGGTAGAGAGATGGAGTATATCTTTTTAAAAGAGGACATAGAAAAAATATAGATTTTAAAACATACATACCAAATGAATCTTCATCTTGAATATCACAAAACCTTCCCCGGTAATTTTTAAAACAGCTGAAAATATATAATGCAAAATCAATGCTAATTATCTATTATGCAGCATAACGCTGACCGCTAAGATGAACTAAACATTAAATTCTATAAAATTTGTAGTAATTTTAGAATTTGTTTAACCTTTTATATTATGTAACACAATTATGCATACAGAAAATCAGTAATGAAAATAATAAGAAATAATGATAAAGTCTTCAATAAATTCAAAATAAAATGCACTGATTATAATTCAATATTTCATTTTGAACTGAAATTTGTATTTTGATACAGAACGATAGTTCCAGTGGAAATTCAAAAACTCACCGAGTATAAATATTAACGACGTCCAAAATTTCGATAGACAGTTATTCAAAATGACATTTAAATTGATTGTTTTTCAGCTTTTCAGTAGTTATTTCCTCATGTTGCCTTATTCAGAAATGAAGCAGTTGATTCACGTGATCAGGAGGATAGTGAACAGCACACTACTATAACGGATAAAGAGCTTCTTATCCGTAAAATTAAATCTATGGTAAATCCAGGGCAGGGATTTCCAACCTTTTCCTTACATTGAATTCTTCTATCGACCCTCTTTAATTTTTTCTGTATTATACAGTATATAATGTAATTGTAGAACAAATAACTGCACATAAGTAACCTAGATAACAATTTGTAAGCTAATAATAGGATCAAAAGTTTTGAGAAAGCTAACGGTTTATGAGATTTATTATCAGCCCAAAGGGGCAGTTTGCTCCTTTGGGCTGTTAATTTTGTTTTGGCAGTTTGCGTCAATTTACTATAAGTGTCTGTTCCCTTTTCAAATTGTTGACACTAAATATTAGAGCCTTGCATTATACTTAGAGAAATTAAATAATGAAGAATCTGCATGAATGTATGCATGTTTCTCGCACTGTGAAAAAATAACGGTACTTTGAATTCCGTTGTGAATAAAGAACGGAATTTTGAATAACGTAGCCCTTCATTCGAATATGGGCATCTGGATACCCAAATTCCGAATTCGGGGTACTTTTCCGTTTCGCCGGCGCAAATATCGCCAAGCATACTTTATTGTCGACAACACACAGTATACACATAAAAAATGTTAACAAATGTTAGTTCTAAGAAATTTTTATTTTGAAGGTATAAACATTTTAATATCGCTTAAAATTTTGTAAAAAGACATTAATTTAAGAATTTACTATGTTTTCATGGTACAACAGCCTGATTCGCAGTTTTTTATCACATGACCCCGAGTAATCTCATCTCACGTAAACTAGGCTACAAAAATCTAATTCTCTCAATAATTATCTACATTAATTTCAAGTGAAATCTTAATTTGGAATACAAGTTTAAATGCAAGAAATACTTCAATTCGTACGAAGAGCTTACTCCGAAATTATGTAAAACTGCAGTGCTTTACTTCACTAGTGCATTCTCATTAGAATTGATGAGTTTAACCCTTGACTTTGCCTTTTCTATATTTTCGCCTTCGGGTGAGCGGTGTGATTCCATCCTAATTGACTTAATTACCGCGAATGGTCTTAGGTATCTGGGTAAAACTTCTATGTAATTGTATACCAGTATTGAAAGAAACAATCAATCTGATAAGAAATGGCTGCGACGTGTTTTACCAGTGAGGATATTTCGTTTGGTATCGTTTGTACCATTTTTGGCGACTTTATCGCTTGCGCCGGCAAAATGGAAAAGTACCGAATTTGGAATTTGTTTTACTATCTGCGTCATATTTTATTAAACATTAAAGGATTTTTAATTAACAAACACAACGATTTCAAAGGGAACGATGCCAATCCTGTACAGGAAAAATAATTTTTGTCCGCAGCACGCGAGACTATGTACATTAAATCCTAAAGAAGTAGTCTTTTAAATATTTTCTGATATTGCTATTGAATTGAATTTTATGGCTGATATTTCTATTTTCTGATATTGCTATTTTATTGAATTGAATTTTATTGCTATTGAATTGAATTTTATTGAATTGCTATTGAATTGAATTTTATTGCTATTGAATTGAATTTTAAGTGCGAAGAATGTGTCATTTAATATGTAAAGGCAACAACTCAAAACGTTAAAAAATGCACTTTTGGTCGTAATATAAAATCAGTAATCTTTCAGATTTTTTTAAGATTATTATTACTATTGTTATTTGTATTATAATTATTTTTAAGTTTACAAATAGAAACAAGTATTACAAAACGAACTACCTTATATTGCGAGGCATAACGGGTACCTTATAATATCAAACTGATTTTGTTTTTTAAATTTTTAGGTGTATTTTTAGGTGTATTTTTAGGTGTATTTTAGGTGTATTTTTTTTCCTTGTAGGAAAGGGTACGTATAACGCGTACCCTTTTCTTCAAGAAAAAAAAAATCTGTAAGATACATATGCGATGTTCATTCATTCGAAGATATTTAGAATAAAGAAGATTCGAAGAAAGAAAATGGAAATCGTGGTGCAGCAAGGAAGTTTGCTGCTGGTGAAGTCTCCATACGTGAGTGGAAGAAAAATGAAATCACAATAATTAATATGCTTAAGAATAAATGTGCTTTGCATAAAAGAGTAATGAAATGGGCTATCCTAGAAGAAAATCTTGCGAACTGAGTCCTGGAACAATGGATTATTTTTAACAAGAAAACAGAATATGTTTATTTGTCTTAAAGTGAGCAAAAAAAAAAAAAAAAAAAAAAAAAAGAATGCAAATAAAAGTGAAAATTTTAAAACAGCTTTCAGTTGATTTATGGCAAGGAATAATTTAGTGGTAGGAGAAAAAAACAAAAGTTTCGCTAAGCCTTCCCAGAGATTTATACAACAAACTGATAAGTTTTTAGAAGTATGTTATTGGTAAATCTTCGGATTATGGTAACTTAGCGGTTTTTTGGCGAAAATTTGGCGACCAACCCTGCTACAACAACCTGCTAGTTTCTTTTTGGACGCCTTTTTGTTTTCACGAAGTAAAGGCATGCTTTTTTTTTTTTTTTTTTTTTTTTTTTTTTTTTTTTAACTCAACATTTTTTCGCAACGATCTGCTAGCCGAAATTTCGCTTATACTAGAACTTTTATGGAAACAAAAAGCTGCTTAATCATGACGAAGATTAGGTGCGAAATTGGGAGAAAGTTCAGAATCTGCTTGCCGCGTTTTTAAGAATTGCACATACACGGTATCATTCATGTACACGTCGACCTATTTTCACTTAAAAAAACATCCCAGAATTGCACAAAAATGGCATTGCGCACACTCTTGACTTTATCCATGTACACTGCTAAGGGCCTAGCTAGTAACCTTTATCGCCTTACCAAAATGTCGCCAAACTGCCTGTTACCATATTCAAAAGATTAGCCATGTTATTGACCTATGAACGCAAAAAAAAAAAAAAAAAAAAAATATTTACTCTCCCATTTGGAATTTTTCAAATGTGGATGAAACTTCAGTAATGTTTGATATTAGATGGATAAAAATGTGAAAATAATAAATACGATATACCTAAAACAACAGGTCACGAAAAATCTTACCTCACCAAGATACTTTGCCGCTTAATGGGCGGCATAAAATTAAAATCCATGATTTACCACTACATTTACATTACCATTACATATTGGCATCGTCTTCCTTTTAAAAATAAACCCATGGTTATTTTCTAAAGAGAGACGATGTTGAAATGCAACTTCTTAAATCGTGTTTTCATTCATATCCATCCACAGGTCCACCAGCGGCCGAAGTGTTTAGTCCAGTGTTTAGTCGCTGAACACTGGAACACTGGTAGTTCGGTACGAGGTTCGAATCGCGCGAACGGGCTGGCTCCATGGGCGATTTCTATAGCCAGTATAGCAGTCAGTTTCCTTTAGAACGTCCTTCCACAAAGGCATCTCTCTGCTTAGGCAGATAGCTCTCAGTGTTTTGCCATAATTACATAAACCAAACCAAGCCATGTTCACGAGAAAGGATGGATGGACGAAGAAGGTGGTAAATTGCGGATAAGGAATATTTGATTAAAGCTTCCTGTTGTTTTGAAGAATGCAGAAAGTCTTTTAGCTGGGACATGTTCAGATCCCATTTAACGTATAATACGAAGAATTTGTTGAAAAAATGTAATACAGTCACGGCAGTTATAACAGGTGGATTAACACTATTATTTCTACGTTTAGATGCATGTATCAATAAATCATTCAAAGAAAGTTTAAAATGATAGTGGAATTGAGAATGTGAAAAAACATTTAAAAAAGGGAGACAAATGCATCATGCCAGTTTAGAAATCGTGTGTGAATGGATAATAAAAGCATGGAATGAAATTAAACCCAACTTAATTCAAAAGTCATTTAAAAATTATAGAAAATAATACCTAACAATCTAGATAGAAAGGAAAATTATTATTTTTTATGGATCGAAGTAATAGTGATAGTGACAAGAAAGTGAAAAGAAAGAACGTGCAAAGTTCAATTCATCATTGCCTTTTTCTAAACAATTCCATTTGCATATAAGCATGCCATACCGCAAAACATACATTATGGCCAATATGTCTTCGACATTAACATTGAGCACAAGTGAAGCGACAATTATTTCTCTTCTCTTCATTTTAATTCAGCAACAGTATTACATAACTTCTACGCAGCATTTTGAAGATGAACATCTTGGTTTATCGAAATGTAAAATTTAAAAATTTTTCAAAATGTCACCTATATCAGATGCAATGCTAAATTACAACACTCATATATTAGTCCAAAAATATATAACGCAATTTTTAAGTTATTTCGAAGCTAAAAGACTATTTCACTTAAAGCGCAGAGACATTTTTATATGTTAATTTATTACTACATGTTGCGCAGATGTTATTAGATTAGTATTAATTTTGTTTTAATCTCCAAGATCTGATTTCATTTTTTATTTACCCTTTTTTAGCTTAATTAATTAATTAAAGAAATTAACTTTTCTAAAATTGCGATACTTCAAAGATATAGGCTTATGTTGGAGACAGAGTTTGATAGTTGAAGAATTAAAAATTAATTAGCACTCATAAATTAAAACAAATTTAGAAATTCTATATTAATTTTGCGTAAACCTACTGAAAACATTGCAAAAATTTGAACTATCATTACCCTTAAAATACAAAGATAAAGGACCTTCATTTCAATACGAGGCAATTATCGAAAAGAATACATTCCTGCACACAATAAAAAGACATAAGTAAAATTATTTACTAACTTGCAAACAAATCCCCTTCCTGGAATAATCTTGCAAGTACCATTTACGCATGGATGAGTGTCGCAGACATCTAAAACATAATGTTACAAATTCTGTACATATGTAAATAAAGTTAGTGAAAATATAGGTGAAACTGTAGTATTTTTCTGTATTAAATAACTTAAAATGCTTGAAAGAAATAAAGCTCTTTCGGAAAAATTAGAACACGGGGGCAAAATTGCTTAACATTGAGGTAAATGGCTATCTCGCTAAATTGGCGAGATTTCGCCAAGCTGGCGATGGTTTTGGTAACTAATTTTTGTCACCAAATTTGGAGAAACGTCGAAAGTCGGAAAACATGATAACTATGTGGCGACATTTTGTATAGTCCTGTATAACTGTCATTAGTATCGTAATTAAATATATAATTGATTCCTTATAGGTCACTATAACCGTATCCGGCTCTTATATGCAACATTAACCATATATGCCTTCCAGTTATTTCGAGAAATGGAAAGCACTGGACATTTCCCGATAGCCGGGGTAAAACTATATAAACCAGGTGACAGCATTAGTTCTCAGTTTTCCAGTTCGGAGTATTGAGGTATTTGCGCTTAAGCTTCGCTCTTTAGATACGCTTTACATTTCGTTACATTTCGTTGTGTTTAACGTTCTTAGTAGTTTGAAGTATAGCTACTGATTGTACTGTGTGATATAGAAAAGAGCTGTAAGAATATTTTTGTGGAATGTTTAAGAACTGTAAAATGGTTTCTGGCAAATTTCCGTATATGCTTCGCCTTTTAGATGCGTTTGGCACTGCGCTGTGTTTAAATTCTGGCTATCATCGGTTTTGAGTGAGTTCAATCCATTACAAACCCGTACGCAAGTATCACTATTAATGGTTTATATCGTAAAGATAAATTGTTGCTATGTAATTCTATAAAATAAACAATAAATTTAGAAAAAAATTGTATTCAAAATTTTCAACCCCATAACAGAAACAAAATTATGAATTTTAGTACGACATATTTTATTAAAATATTCAAAAATACTAGATTCTTTTAACTCAAGTTTGGGTCACAATGTGCATATACCATAGTAAGTGGTACACTAAAAATATGCCGTAATGCTTGTGTTAAAGAAAATTGCAATTCAAATTCTCGAAATAAACAAGATTATAAGAAATGACGAAACTATTCTGATATGCGCCTTCAGGTCGCCAAATTTCTCGCCAAACATTTTTGGCGAGAAACTCCACGCTGCCGTATTACTATCAAAATTTTTTGTTTACCTTTCAAACTTTACGCCTAAAATGTCTCCAAAAACGCGGTTTTCGCACATGCAAAACTACGTTTCGAACATACAACTTAAGCTGAAAATCCGAAAAAAAAAAAAAAAAAAAAAAAAAACTAAAAATTTATATAGCAAAAACGTAAAGTTTCTAACCAAAAATATTTGACAAGAATCCATGTATACCGCGATTTGTTTTAACTTAAAAAAACATCTACGAATGGCACAATCTAGGCAACGAACGAATCTAGGAACTACGTACACCTCGCTTTAAGAAATTAACATAACAACAATAAATTTCAAAGAATACCATGTACACAGCGTTCTGTTTTAACCTTAAAAAACATCTACGAATGGCACAATCTAGATACTACGCACTAATCAACAAAATAATTTTCAAACAATTAAAAAACAACAATAACGACAGAAATTCATACTGAAAAACAATGAACACAACAATCTACAAAATAAGAACAAAAATAAAATAAAAGGCACCATGAATTAATGCTTTTTCGAACAGCAGAAATACTAGTTTCATACCGCCTTTAACATGCCGCCACGTAATCACTATCGTATTTATATGACAGCAAGACACACTATCCAGAAAATTCATGCTAGGGTTCACAAATAAATAAAATCGCAAATCCCTACTTCTGTCATGCACAGCCACTAAAAATAATCTGCCAAACCCTCTTTCCACACCTCCAAATATCCACTGCCCCTCAACAGGATGGCCACAGTGATATTTCCCTTTGCCGAACTTCAATTCAACAACTTCCACCATTTTATCTTTCCCCCTTATCTTCTCACATACAGACGCGAACCAACGAACTCCAGCGAAAGATTTTTCAACGTCAACGGGGTTGCCATACAACACGCAATAGCGCCAAAAATCAGCGTAGAACACACATCGCCACATTTGGTGAAATTAGGGCGTATATCAGAGTTGTACCGAAATTGCAATTCATATTCTCGAAATAAACAAGATTATAAGCCAAATTTAGGTGAAGCAGATGCATTCACAATCTCAGCAGAAATAAGATGACATTCATTCTACAGCACTAGGAGTAAATGAGATATTCACCAAACGGAATTTTTGGTTGTTAATGAACACCATCCATCTTTTCATTCATATTCTGGAGATTTATTTTTTTGTTCTTCTCACATTTCACAAAGTTCAGAATATAGTGCTTAAACAGCATGAATATACAGCTTAACATGAAAAATGCTAAACACAATTTTTGCTTACTTACATAAAGGTGAAAAGGAATGCCAATGCATATCACACAGTGAATAATTGTTCAGCATGATATGATAAATGCACATTTTACTGCTATTGAATTTTCTGGAGCTTTATTTTCATTAAACTTATATTTTTGAATGTTAATTATTTATTATATATGTGAGTTCATATTTAAGTGCATAAGATCAAAACATATTACAAAGAGTATCTACTATTTTACATGTGTTGCCGCCCAGATGATATAGTGGTTAGGGAAGCCTGACTGCTATGCCGATGGGCCTGGGTTCGAATTTCGGAGAAGGCATGGTTGTAACTGCCCGTCCCTTCATAGGAGGCGATGGTGGCCCACCTATTAGGTGCCTCCATAATAAAGAGACCACCTCATCTGGCCTTGTATAGATTAATGGACTGGGTTACACTGTAACTGTTCACAACCTGCCATTAGAATACATGTGTTGCATTTTTATGTATTTTATTTATGTTTTATTACCATGTATATTATGTAATTTATTTGTGTTTTATTTTCCTATCATTATTGCTGCAAATAATTATGCTATTTGTACTTTGAACTTCTCAAATATATTTCAGTTTTCAGCAAACTAGATCTCTGTGCAAATAAGGAATGCCCCCTCAAATAGAACGACACCATTCAGGCAGCTAGATTTTTCAAGTTTTGGAAAATCTGAGTAAATGGTATTGCAATATGCGTACGGGTTCCTAATGAACTAAACGCACACAGAACCGAAGAAAGCTTGAAGAAATTAATTTTTTTCAAAAATACTTTAAAGTTTTGGAACTTTTCACCCAAATGTACTCGTACAACTTTTCTCAGTATGACAGAGCACAATCAACAGTTAGCACGTCAAACTACTAAGAACGTTAATCACAATTTAAAAACGAAGCATCTCAAAAGCGTAAAGCTTGCCAGTAGTCTTTCAATACTTTGATCTCTCAGCTAACTCTGAGCTAAACTCTGAACTATTACACAAATATAATTCCGGATGCAGTTGCAGTTACATTGGAATCGGAAGAAAACGTCTCCAAATGGTTCCCGAGGTAGACGACTTTATGCGATTCCTCGACAAAATTTGTCCCCAAAATTATCGCCAGTTTGACGTTAGCCTGCTCTCGTCTAGCTATTTACCCCAATGTTAAGTGAACTTACCCTTGTAACCTTATTTCTCCGGCAATGGTTCGCTTCTTGACGCCTTTCATGTTACTAAATGCAAAACTATAATTTACATATAATTTCACTAAAAATCTTTACGCATGTACAAAACTCGCAACAGTATTATATGTTAAAAAAGACTGTTGTACAGAAACTAAAATACAGTTTATGAAACTCATAGCAAGAATTTCAATACTGGACAGTTTTGGAAACAAGTGCGAAAAAGATAATTACCTATGCATGTTCCATTAAAATCTATGAAATTGTCTTCACAGATGCAGCTTTTGGCTCCATACGCATCAAAAGAACATACTGAATTCAGTCCACAATAGCATTCTATGAATTAAAAAACACATCGAATAGAGCTTAAATATATTTCTCTTGAAGTATATATTGCAAAGCTATACTTGTTTGATAATGTTGTACTTGTTTACACATAATACAAATATTTAAATTAGTAATTTAGAAACATGAATCAAGAAAATCGAGTACCAGACACATAATTCCAATAATGTAGCGAAGCGGTATCTTAACTTTAAATTAATAAACCTAAGAATACATCAATGCGAATGGACTGTAAATTAACCTTTATTCGGGAGTTTGAACTTTCGAACACAACACATCACAAAGTAAAACGACAGATTTACAATTAGCGGTTTTAAGAATGCAAGAACAAAATGCGAGCTGTCCATACAATCTGCGCATTGCGAAATAATATCTCACAGACAGGCAGAGAGCTCTGGTGCCGAAACATCCGCCGGTTTGAAGCATCGTTTCAAACTAAATAGCTTTTACAAAATGAAATTATCATAACAATATTAAACTTATGCAAAAATATATCATTAAAATATACACAAGAAAACATAATATGAAATTATGCAATGAAACTAAGTTGTTCTCAAAACAGATGCACAGAAGCCTTGATACAATTCAGGAAACTTATAGTTAAAGCAAAGTACAAATGTTATAATGCTTTAGAAAAAAAAAATTTAATCAATGATAGGCAAAATACTAAGTTTGTGAATTGGCCTTTTGAAAACTCCGGTTAGCAATTTTGATCTTCACGATACGCACAATATTATCTGAGCTAGGAAAAACTTCCATTGGCACTCTTCCTCTTCTTCGAGATGCAAAGCTCTTCAAAGCGGCAATAAAAATGATTCTGATGTAAGATTACCTACTAATTCAATATGTATAGCTCTTGTAATAAAACACACGAATACACAAATGTAGCATTTCATTGGTTTTACTCCTCGACCTTGCCTGGGCTTCACTTGAAATGGCCCGGCGTAGTCAATTCCAACTTTGGAGAAAACCTTTGACGGAACGACTCTAGACGATGGTAAATCAGACATTATTTGGGTAGATGTTTTAGCTCGTACACGATGACATTTCCAAATCTGTTGTCTTACAACTGACCTAGCGTGGATTATCCAATATTCTCTTCTAATTACTGATAGCAATAGCAGGGGGCCAGCGTGAAGATGGTATATATGAAAATGATGCACTATAATCTGTGTTATGTGATGTTTCTTGGGCAACAAAATAGGATATTTTCTGTCCTGTGCGGTGTTGGATTGTCATAATCTTCCTCCGACGCGTATAAGTCCATTCTTATCGATAAATGGGTTCAAAGAAGGATCTTACTATTTGAGTTTAACGGTTGATTCTTTTTCAGAAGATTATATTCATTAAAAACTCATCCATTTGAACTACTCTAACAATTGCATTTTTAGCGTATTGCAATTCTTCGGTTTTAAGGTAATCCTTAATCCTTTTTTCGGTAGATTTAGCTGAACACCATGCGATGATTCTTTTAAGTTTCAAAAATGATGAAACTTCATTAAGGACTGGAATTTGCGAAGCGACTGTTCCAATTGAACAAGAAATATTTTTCCGTTGTTACCTTAAAGACTCTTCTGAAAATGTTAAGTTGATAGAGAACGGAATATTATTTGAATTAAGCCACTGAGGACCTGTCCACCACAAGTCATGAGTAGAAAGCTCTGAAGGCAAAAGACCTCTTGATGCGCAATCAGCTGGATTCTCCTTTCCTTTTATGTGATTCCAATGCGATGATGGTAAGACTGATTGAATTTCTGAAACGCGGTTGGCTACGAAGGTTTCCCAGATATTTTTCACAAAATTATCCAATATCCTGAAATATCACCAAACATTTATTGGATAAAGGCTCAGGTCGGAGTTCTTGGTAACGAAGAAGCCGATTCAGCAGCCAAATCAGCTACTACCAACAATAATATCCCTTCAAGAGAAAAATCTCCTGGCCGAAATCATACCTCAAGAAATATCTACATAAAATCAGCCTCCAAATGTGGGAAGAAGAATGGACAACAATAAATACAGGAAGACAATTACATCAAATAGCACCTCATGTAAATGATACATGTACAATGGTCAATGGTATATAAACCGCTTTTTAACTGGACATGGGCCATTTTCCCACATACTTCTTCAGATTCAACATCTCTAACTCTGAGCAATGTGTAATTGAAAAAAAGGTGATCCAATCCATTATATTACTCAATGTCCCTTAACAAAGTCAACTCATATTAAATTGTCTAATTCAAATATCAATGCCTTCCTTCGTTTTGCAATTACCAACAAACATTTAAAAAATAAAATAGAAAATACAATCAAATATCTATCTTCAATAGGCAAACATTTATGTGAGCACTAATGTAATTAATGTCAAAATTCATTTTTGAAGCTGAAATTCATCTAAAACTTTTATTATCTAATTATCTTAAAAACAAACCCTTGCAATAATAATGATATAGTAAAAAAGGGAAAAAGAAGAGGAAGAAGATACAGATTTAATATAATAAACTTTATCTCAAGGAACTATTAAGAACTGTTATAAATTATGACTGTTAGCCCTACTATTATTATAGCTATTAAAACTGCTATAATTATATCTAATTGATATATCAATCAAAATATCGACATACTATTTATACTGTTATATTATGTTATATTATACTATGTGTTTTATTATACTATGTACTATTTTGAATATTACTTTAAAAATAAACCGAAGTGTAGTGGGACTAAACCTACATTACTTATAGTAAACATTGGGTGTCTCACTACATTTCCACCTGAACCTGAACCTGAAGGTTTGCCAGCGTGTTGGTTCTGATTGTATCCAGGACAAAACTATCATTGAATCATTCCATGCGTAAATATCGTCAAACATGAATTTGTAATGAATTCTGCACAGCTTGAATCAAATGCACTAATAGAACGGCAGAGCACAGTTCTAAACGAGGAATAGAGATTACTTTCAGGGAAGCTACACGAGTCTTTGATGTTAGTAACTGCATCGGAAACTGAAGAATTGATTTGAAGATTTTAAATAAATCACTGCGGCGTAAACTTTCTCTGATTCTTTTTTCTGTCAGCGTAAGCTTTCTCTGAAAAGCGTAAGCTTTTCTTTTTATACTGCGGCGTAATTTATCTCTTTTTTCTCTTCTTTCTTTCTGTCACTGAAACAATGAAATTCTACATTTGTAGCTTTGGCAATAATACTCTCCTAGGAATACGAATGTATTCAAGATTTGCGATAACTTCATAATAGATTTTCCATCGTTGACTGATTTCATCTGGTAAGGGATCATCCCACGAGATTTGTAATTTCCATATATCTTGAAGCAAGATTTTTGCTGCAACTATAAAAGGTGCTAACCAACCAAGTGGATCAAAGATTTTCGAAATAGAAGGTAAAATTATTCTTTTAGTAGAACACTCTCTGTTTTCGATATTTCCTAAGTGACAAGTAAACTCGTCTTGCGTTGGATACCATTCGAAACCCAAAATTTTATTGATTTAGTATCAACTACTGTACATGAAAAATTTGAGTTCCGAGCAGTCAAAGCAGTTTCAAAATCGAGCGATCATTTGTACACCATTTTTGCAATTGAAAGCCACCTTTTTGTAAAAGTTCACTCAGTTGTGAAATTAACTCTACTGCGTCCTCTACTGTGTCTGAACCAAATAGGACATCATCAATATAACAATTGTGTAATATTATTTCAGCTGCCTTTGGGAATTTAGTTCCTTCGTCAATTGTTAGTTGTTTGAGTACGCGAGTAGCCAGGTATGAAGCGGAAGTAGTGCCGTACGTAACTGTGCACAACCTGTAAGTTTTAATCGGCTTCGATGGGTCATCTCACCACAATATTTTTTGGAAATCGCGATCTTCATCATGAATTTGAACTTTTCGATATATTTTCAATAAGTCGCTAGTAATGGCTATGGGATAGCATCTAAACCTCAAACGAATAGTAAATAAGTCGTCTTGTACCTTGGGACCATTCATTAGCGTGTCATTAAGCGATATCCCTGATGTAGTTTTGGCACTAGCATTGAAAACGATGCGTAGTTTTGTGGCAAGACTGGATTCTTTTAGCACGTGATGATGAGGTATATAATAAGGAAAATTTACTTTATCTAAATTATCATCGGATAATTTTTCCATGCGTCCAAGTGATAAATATTCGGACATGAAGTCTTTATATTGTTGATATACTTCACGAGTTTTTATTAATTTTTGTTCCAGAATAAGAAAGTTGCGAAAGGCTGATGGTCTGAAATTACCTAACTTACTTCTTTTAGGCTTGAATGGCAGTTTTACTGAGTAACGACCATTTTCACTACGCACGTGATTTTCCACGAAATAATTTTCACACAATCTTTCCTCTTTAGTTAAAGGTTTCAATGTGGGAATTTGTTCCAAATCCCAAAATGATTTAACTAATTCCTCCGTGTATACGTTTAGCGTATTGACTGAAACCTGCTTACGGTTTGGGAATTCAAAATGTGTAGTTCCAGCAATTACCCATCCTAACTTAGAACAACATGCAAATGGAAGATTTTTGCCCCTTTTAATTGCCTCGCCATTGATTAAAGTAAGGAATACGTTAACTCCAAGCAAAATATCAATTTCTTCCCGATTCATGAAATGTAGGATCTGCGAAAGTTAAATCTTCGAAAGCTTTCATATCAATTCAAAGGTAATGTTACACTTGGAATGTTTCCTGCAATTTTCTCTATTATGTAAGCGGACGTTGAAATTCTGTAATTAGTATTAAAATGAGGTGTAAACAACAAGTCAACTTCTTCCAGTAGTAGTTGTATTGAAAGTATACCTAAGCATGACACTAATATCTTCGAATCCTTTACGCCTCAATCCTAAATTGATAGCTGTTTTCCGACGAATGAATGATTTTTCACTACCTGGAATCTAGCAAACATCTACAATTTATGAATTTCATTTTTTGAGTTTTGAACCTTAATTAAAACAGTGCACAAAAGTACATGACTACGTTTACCATTAGCACGAGCTCCAAAATGGTTATTTTCATAGTTGTTTGCACAAACAGTTGGAGAAACCTCACTCAAGTTTGTTTTCTGGTTTAATTTGCGATTTCGGAACAAACACTTGTGCTTCCGGTGAAAGGGAATCTAGATGCATTTTTGGTTTGAAATTATTTTCTAAATGCAAATGCTATGAGGATGCTTAAAAACAATGCTTGCAGGTATTTGCACTCTTACACATTTTAACTTTATGGATATTAGACAAGCAATTAAAACAAGTTTATTAGTCTTAACAAAACTCTATTTGTTTTTGCACTGGTAAATTAAAAAAATTAGAACACCTGTATAAAAAATGATCTTCTTTACAAAATAAGCAAGTAGAATTAGTAATCAGAGAAGTAACCCTATTATACACTGGTTTATCTGATTTATGCGTTTTACTAATTAAAGGTTTACTGTTCTGTAATATTCTAGCGTAATTCTTCAAAAATTCTATCAAGTGATTCAACTTTGGTATTTCGTCCTTTTTAAATTGTCGCTCCCACCACAACTTTGTCGAAACGTCAAGTTTTTGCAAAGTAATATACAACAATAAAGTATCACTAAAATTATCTATCTTTTGATCTAATATTTCCAATGAGCGAGTTATTTCGTTTACGTTATCTACTAAATATCGAGGATGCAGATTCCGTTTGTATTTGTGAAACGTTAAGAATTCTTTTAATAAAAGCAAATATCTGTTCTCTCTTATTATAAAATCTCTCTTCTAGTAAATTCCAAGCAATACTGAAATTTTGATCAGCTATGGGAATTGACTGAATAATGCGATAAGCATCATTTTTCAAAGAACTCTTTAAATATTGTAATTTTTGAGCTCCAGATAGATTTGGATTGTTGCGAACACTAGCGTTTAAATAAATCTTTAAATGTTTATCCATTCAGTTAAATTTCCGCTAAATGTGGGTAAAGAAAAAGATAATTTCGGTAACTTTAAACTTTCAGAGATTGATTCAGGTACGACAGGTTTATCGCCATTTGCATTTACGACCTTGTAAATCTTTAACTTACGAATAATTTTTAAGTGAACCTCCTCAATTTTCTCTAAAATCGACTGTTCTTCTTCAGTGAAAGTGTCTATTTTATCATCATCACAATTTGTATAAATTTCTCTAAATAGAGATTTAAAATCTTCTTTAAAGGTTTTACATTTTTCTAAGATTAATTCAGCTTCAGCATTATCTAAGTTATCATAATCTATTTTCTCGATAGGAATTTCATTAACTGTGTTTTCAAAATTTTCTTTCGTTTTTTTTTTCTATAATCTGACATTTTGAAAATATTCTAAATTCTCGATTTTACTAATACTTTAAATCACAATAATAGTAGCAATAACGAAGATCTCAAATGCAATTAAAATGCATTAACTATTTCACTCACCTCGTACACTGTATCCATTGCGAAACTCTTGAGAATTCTAAACCTGAAATTGCATTATCACACTCAATTACAGACACGTAGAATTCTTGTTCACAAGCGCGGTTTTACTTCGAAGCTCCGGCGTAGGACGACCAAAATAATGTAGCGAAGCGGTATCTTAACTTTAAATTAATAAACCTAAGAATACATCAATGCGAGTGGACTGTAAATTAACCTTTATTCGACAGTTTGAGCTTTCGAACACAACACAGCATAAAGTAAAACGACAGAGTTACAATTAGCGTTTGCAAGAATGCAAGAACAAAATGCGAGCTGCGCATACAATCTGCGCATTGCAAAATAATATCTCACAGACAGGCAGAGAGCTCTGGTGGCCGAAACAGGCACATACTGCGTAACTCTGATGATGGTGTGTGTGTAATTATGGCAAAGCCTCGAGGGCTATCTGCCTTCGTGGAGGACTTTCTAAGGGAAACTGGCTCGTATACACGTTACACATGGGGAAAACCACGAAAACGCCCATGCAGCCAGCCTGTTCGCGGGATTCGAACCTCGGACCGAACTACCAGTGTTCAGCGACTTTACCGCTCGGCCGCTGGTGGGCCCTCTCTGATGATGGAGATTGCAGAGATAAGATTTATCACTCCAAGACATTTTGGAAAAAATTCTGATATTTTCTTTTACACAATTTCAAAATTTATCACCTGTCGTTAATCTTAAAACTTAACAGTAGAATTAATAAGGTTATTCTTTAAATTGTGCTCAGGAAAAAAATTGTTACTACAAATCCAAATTCTATAAGAAAGCCAATATCACAAACTCACATCTTTCTCGTAATATAAACACCGTCTGGACAAAGGAGCCCCTCTGATGCATAAGATAATATAAGTTTCATGAATTTAACATTCTCATACTTTGAGAAAGCACCATTATACGAATATCTAAGTGATATTCCATGAGTATGTCTGTATTTTTAAGTATGTTCAACAGTATAAAATTAATTGTGCACATTTTACCTACCTTATTGTAAACGCGAAAAATTTCGGGTATTCTATTTCAACGAAAATGTATATTTTAACCTCTCCCGGTTCCAATTTAGCGGTATATTTGCTTGATATCTGCGCATACAGACAGAATAAAAAGACTCTTTTTCGCAAAACAGACTGTAAAATGGATTCAGAAGAGATTCATGATGTCTGTACGTACCGTACGTGTGTATATATTTCGCATAACACAGAAATGCGTAATCTCAGAATATTGATATTTTGTGTATGGGACTGCTATAACATGTAAAGTTACTTACGCGGTACTACGCCTAACGAACAGTCATTTGTTTTCATTTGAAACTCTTAATAAAATAGAGAATTAAGTCAGTTTCTGAGTCTTCAGTGTCCTTTTGCTGGGTGGAAGCAAACGTAAAAATATGGGTTTGTGGACCGGAAAATCTGTCTTCCTGCCCGCGGCCTGAATTGCTTGATTTTGCGTAGAACCTCTAATTTTAATTCTAAAAATTGTTTTCTCAACTTTATTTAGTATTTTATTTTTTCCGTAATTTACAATTTTTAATGAAGATGGTTTGAGTTTTATGTATTTTTTCCCTTGCCACGAGGTGAGAAAATTGATTGAATGAGAGATATATCTTTAATGAAATTCGAGGCATAAATGAAATGCGTCAAAATGTGTATAATTTAACAGGCTGTAGAAGGAAGGCATGTGGTCCCCATATCAGATTTCTTTCTTCAGTTCTAAATAATGAAATGCTTCCAAACCAATATCTATTTGATTCTATTAAACTGGTAGTTCGTATAAATTAGATGTTCGATAAATTACCATGGTAATTTTCAAATTTTATATAGCGGGAAGGAGATAATTAAGTTCCATATTAAATATTAAAATTATTTGAAAGCAATTATTTGAACGTAAAATGTGAATTTACAAGCTAAGTAAATTAAAGATTCAACGCATTACATTTACAAAGAAGCTTCACATAAATATGCTACTCAATTTAAAATTTCTACAAAGGCATAAATTGCTGCTAATGCATGCATTCATTTAAACTTCGTATACGGTAATTATCTTTGCAATTTTTTGCTATTCCTGACAGATATGGAGTTTACTAAAATTAATGCGTAAAATATATAGAATCAGAAATGTATATAAATACAGAATAAATCTAAATGTAAAAACCAATTAATATTTTCTCATAACGTAGAGTAATGAAATCGGATTTATAAGAATTAAGTTATAGATCCACTAGCTTATTCTGAAGCAGAAATATGTGCAGTGGCCTCGTAGGGACTCGAACCCTGGATCTCTCGAAATATGCGCCGAGTGCGCTACCGTTACACCACGAAGGCATTCTGGACGGAGGAAGAAAATACCGTATACACCCTCCTTTAAAGGGCGACTGGAGATGAGAGGACCCAGTCACAAAATCCTGTTGGTTACGAGTTATCGTCCACCACCTTCTAGTTAAAGCGTCATTTGAAGGGTCATTATTTTTTTTTCGGGGAGGGGGGGAGCATAACATATGAAAAAAGGTGCAATGTCCTCTTTAGGAATCCAATATGGACCTCTCGAATACGCTTGGTGTAATCTATCGTTGCTCGACAAGGCATGCGGAAGCTAGGGAGAAAATTCCTTACGTATAATATTTGTGTTAAATATTCTGCCAATAAGTAATGTATATTTTTTTTCATTAAAGCAGACGATACAAAAATATAAAACACTACTAAATATACGCTGCTTACAGCAACAGTCTACCGTAATAGATGGATACATCTCTGCTGAGTCTGAAAAAACGAAAAAAAAAAAAATTACCTACATATAATAATCGAAATTCTATAAAACCTCCATTGCAGATATAATATTTTCTTCCTAACTCGTCAAATTAACATAAAAAGTTATCTACGCAGTGGCAAATTATGGGTTTAAGGAAGAAGTATAAATTTTTAAAGCATTGGGGAATACAAATGGCATCCTCGGGAATGTAGAAAGTAATACTGTCAAATTTACCTTCACACGTTCCTTGAAATTCTAAGAAACCTTCTTCACATATACATTGCTTATGCCCAAGCCAATCAATTGAGCATGTTGAATTTCCACCACAGTTGCATTCTGTGAAATTAAAAAAATATCAGAGAACTACAGACAGAAATCCTAGTTTGGGCTTTATAAATTGCATGTAGCTTAGATCTTATTAAGGATTCTGAATTAAAAATGATAAGTCTATCTTAACTTTGCTTTTCTAATCACATTAGTTACCTTCGCATTTGCCGTTAACTTCTAGAAATCCATCTTTGCATGTACACCGCATTTCACCTAGTCGATCAAAATGGCAAGTAGAATTTCCACCGCAAATGCATTCTGTCAATATAATAATTGTTAGAGTAACAAATCCTTGAAATTAGGAGAGAATTCCGTGAGCAATCTTGTAAAATCACATCGGAAATAAACTTTTAAAAAGGACACAAATTTATTACCTTTGCATATTCCTTCAGATTCTGCAAATCCGTCTGGACAGTAGCAAATCTTTATTCCATGACTGTTAAAAGTACATGATACATTCCATTCTCCACAATCGCATTCTACAAATTGAAAATAAAATTGATCACACAATATAATTCAGCAGATAAAATGTTTGGAAATCATAAAATTAACACTGAAAATTTCCTGATGTAATTACTATGCAAGAAATAACTTTTTTCTGACTTTTATCCTCCGGTGTTATGTATTTGAAAGATTAAATATTATATTCTTGCTGATATGAAATGAAGTTTGAAATTTCCTATTGAGTTGAATGCAGCCCGAATTAAGTCTCCATTGTCAATTCTTTTCAATAAATACCTGTGTTTTTTTGGCAGGAAAATCAACTTATAATAAACAATGTGTTTCAGAAGTACAGAACGAGGTTTTAAGTGTACAAGACGTTTTTCAAATAATTCTGGGTTTATGGAGAATATATGCTTAAAATCCATATATTATCTATACGTCATGTCACATAAGCATGGCCATTAAAGAAAAACAAGTTGAAAATGGGTGCTAGATTTATTTGAAAACCATGAACATGATTATAAATAAAAGTATTTTTATCACAGTTTATGTTAGGTTATTACATTATTTTTATCACAGTTTATGTTAAGTTGTTACATTCTTTTAGATCCAAAAGCAAACCAAAACTAAAGCTTTGTTTTATTTTCATTTATTCATTCTTTATTATTTATATTTATCATTATTATTGCTAATCCAACAAAAATGATGTTCTGTGTTACAAGTTGTGAAAATTAAGCTATAGATCTTTTTAAGTTGTTGTGCAAATATATAGGCTATATTTTTCATGTAATTATTAATTCAATTCGCTTTGCTAAACAATTAACAACACTTCACAAACCACTTATTACGACAACCCTAGTACATTCCCCCACTGAATACATTTACATTTCCAACGTGAGAAACATTTACATTTCCAACGTAAAAGAGTGAGTAAATTTTAATTTTCTTCCTAGCATTGTTCATCAATTTGTATATTATAGGTTTGAAGGATATGGCACGGGGAATATTCTTAAAAGACATGAGTCCACATCGCTAAAACACAACTTTATTAACACAACTACCCATTAAAACAGGAAACTTCAACACGAATACTCGATCTTTCTGATACTCGAGATAAGGGCAATTTAAGGGAGTTTCGCGCTGGAGGTTATTCCGAAAACAACATAACGCCATCTGGTGGCGCTCACAGCCGAACAAAACACTGCCACAAAATATCGGGCCAGTGACAATGCCGCGACACAAAAGCGGTTGATTGTAAAATTATAATTTAAGATATACACATTCGAATAAAAGTTATACTTTAAAATGCAAGTATACAAAACAAGAAGCACAAACTATAACAATATGCAAGTAATAATACGCATAAATTCTAATTGAAATATATAACAATACAATGCATATCTTAATTAAATAAAAATAATGAAAAGTTAATAAAATAAGAATTTTCAGCTACTCCCACAGAACATATGTAAAGCAATTAATCAAGTATTTGTATGCTGCAACTTTTGCAGCAAACCATAAGAGAAAAGTATTGAATTATACTTGTATTATAGTGATCAGTTTTTGGAAGAATGAACACGACGTCCAATGTGAGTAATTAATTGTTTTGGAACAATGTTTGAGTCTTCACAGACTTTTCGTGTGGAATCTGAGGAATTACAGGGGTATCTATACGTTCCGACAACATATACGCTTGTATTAAACAATCGATTGAAACTGTAATGTGTTTGTTGTGTACCTCAATAATTAAATTTTTGTCCATTCGTTTAACAACGGCATGAGGTCCAGTGTAAGGTGGAGTTAGAGGAGATGTAACGGAATCCATTCGTAGAAATACATGAAAAACGGTTTGAAGTGCCTGGTATACATAAAATTGATGGTTGAACATGGTTACAGATTGGAATCGGTCAAACTGAATACATGACTGATCGAACGTGTGAAGCACGAGATTCAGAAGGAGGTACCAAATTAGTACATTCAGCATATTCGAGGGTAATCTAAGTGTGGTACCGTAAGAACGTTCGGCACAAGTAGCATCTGTATCTTTCTTATTGGCAGATCTAATACCCAACAGAACTATAGGCAGAATTTCTGTCCATTTTGGATTGTTATGAGTCATTATTGCATTTTTAAGCTGCCTATGAAATCTCTCATTCAGCCCGTTGGACTGAGGATGATAAACAGCGGCTCGAATCCGGTGTGTACACAAAACCTTTATGAAATCCATAAATTAAGTTAGATTCAAAATTTTGCCCTTGATCAGTTGTTATAGATACCGGGCAGCATACTTCACAAGTGCACATCTATGTAGCCACTGAGGGCGTGGCTTCTAGGATGGACCAATGAGCATCCAGTAATATTTCTATCATGTCACATGACCTTTCGCGTGCTTTAAGATTTAAGCAAGATGGTTGAAAAATTTCTGCAACGCAATTTTCTGTAAAATAATTAAAGCATCGTCGATTGCTTCGAAACTTATCATTGCGGAAGTTAAATCAATTATATGAAATTATGAAGATTTCACTACCTGGTTGAAATAAATGCAAAACACTGTTGGATACTTCGCAAAAATATCGATGTGAAATATTACTTAATATGTGGTAAATAATATGAAGAAAAAATGTGATAACTTCTGACCCAAATGCAATCTTTACATAAAACTATGCGTATGAGAAAAATATTTACAACCAATATATATGAAAATAGAATCAGCACTTTTTATTGCAGTCTATATGAAAAAGATGTTCTATAATATAACCAATGCATAATTTTATTTCAAAGTGAACTATACTAATTTGCATTCGTGTCATTAGTGTGTTAAATTTCCCATTTAATAACTGCTCACTCTTAAATGTATACTGTCTTACACAAGAATACTCATCAAACCGAGTGAATTCATCGTATTCAATTTATTCACATATAAGTTTAATGTTAACAATGGATATAATTAGATCATATGTATTCTGAATCTACACTTAAAATCAAAGAATGCAAGCACTGAAAAGAAACACTACATTCATTGTAACATTTTTCGTCATTCTCAGCTCATTAAAAAAATATATACTCTTGAATTATCTTAATTCACATAATATGCTGTGAACATCAATCCTAATATTAATGCGTGATAAAAATCGCGAAAATGAAATGTCAGCGATTAATCAAACTCAGAAAACGAAAGCGCTACGAGATTTTCTAATATTACGCCATATATTTATAACTGCGAAACAAATGCAAATTAAAACGTAAACATACGCTCACATGCACGAAGATTTAGCGTCACAAGAGCAATAGCAGCTCATTGGTCCATTTTCGAAACCCCTCCCTCAGTGGCTACGCCGATGTGCATTTGTGAAATATGCTACCGGACAGCCAAATCTAGCTATCCAGTTATGCACTAACGCTTTCCAAATCGTGTGAACTGAGATGTCGGCAGTAGGTATAACTTCCTACCATCTGGTAAAACTGTCAATAATTGTCATACAATAATGGTTACCTTCAGACGATGGAAGAGGACCTATGAAATCAATGAGCAAATCTTGCATCAGACAAGGAAAAGGTACCCAACGGTGTTTTTGAATGCCTATGAATCTTAGAACTTTGGCAGTATAGACAAGATTGAACTGCAGTTTTAATAAATTTCTTCCTATTAGGGAAAAAATATCGCTTTGATTAGTTTTGTTGAGGCTGAAATACTGGCATGAGAAAGACAGCGGAAAAATGTTAGAGCGAAAAGATTTAGGAATGAATAGATGAAGTATACCTGTGTTCATATTGCAGTAAAGAGTAACATCTTCGAAAAAAAAATAATGTTTCTCTAGTTTAAAAACTAGCAAAAATTGAGATAATAAATCTTGAATTTCAGAGTCCTGTCTTTATGCTTTGGATAATTTTTTATAATCAATATGTGGATTATCAGGTACTGAATCTATTTCCACCCTACATAAGAAGACAGCAATGATATTGTTACGCCCTTTGATATATCTTATCTCAGTGAAAAAGTGGCCAACAAAATAAAGATGGAGCATTTGCCGAGGAGAGCATTTTTCAGGCTTTTGCTTAAAAGCATATATTAAGGACTTCTGTTCTGTGCAAATTGTAACGGCCCTGTCTTCAAGCATGTGCCGAAATTTTCTAATCGACAATAATAATAGTTTGTTCTAATAGTTCCTGATCATAATTTGACCATTTCCTTTGACTTTTGTTGAGTTTAACGGCTAGAAACGCAATGGGTTCTCAAACTGAATTATGCAATTGCCTTAATGAGCTACCAACTGCAACGTCCGATGCATCAGTACAAGGTTTCGAGGTAGCAGGAAGAGTTGCGTCGGCAATTGTTTTTTTTTTTTTTTTTTTTCTGCATTGGCGAATGCTTTTTCAGCTTCGTGGTCCCATTCGAGAGGGTACTCTTTTATTTTGCTTGGTTGTGAAGATTTCGATTTATTAATGTGGTCTCCCAATAACCTATTCAAGGGAGCTGAAACAAGCTAGACCCTTGGGAAAAAACGTCCGTAAAAGTTAAAAATCCCGAGAAAATTCCTTAACTGAGTTAAAGTGTTGGTTTAGGAAAATTTTGAATGGCTTACATTCTGATGGTTAAAGGTTTTAAACCCTGTTCAGATAAGTGAAAACCTAAACCCTCCAACGATGTTACACCAAAATTGTATTTAGATGCATTAATTCTTAGCTTATACTTACTTAATCTTTAAAAAAGAGCTTTCAAGTGTATCAAATGCTCACTTTCGTTCTTGGACGCAATCAAGATATCGTCAGCAAAAGCAAATAATCTTGGCAGCTCACGAATTACTTCATCGATAAACCCCTGAAGTATTGCAGCTGCATAGCACAGCCCAAATTTCATTCTTGTACTGTCAAAAAGTTCGAAAGGAGTGGCAATAGTTTTATGGATACCAGAAAGTGTTTAGGAAAATGTGTATCATATGGATATCTGTTTTATGGATATCAGAAAGAGAATGGAGTTTGATGATAGGCTTTAACTAAGTCTAAAGACTTGAGAAAATACCTTTGTTCCATCCAACTCCCCTGCAGAAATACAAATGTTGGGAAGAAAATATTTATCCCTCACTGTCTGAGCGTTTAACCTCCGAAAATATCCCACAGGGTTCTACTCAGTTCTCACACGTTGGGAACAAGATACTTATCCCTCACTGTCTAGGCCCCACCAGCGGCCGAGCGGTAAAGACGCTGAACACTGGTAGTTCGGTCTGAGGTTCGAATCCCGCGAACGGGCTGGCTGCATGGGCGTTTTCGTGGTTTCCCCATGTGTAACGTGTATACGAGCCAGTTTCCCTTAGAAAGTCCTCCACGAAAGGAATCCCTCCCTTTAGGCAGATAGCCCTGGTGTGCTTTGCCATAATTAAATACACCAACACCAACCCTCACTGTCTAAGTGTTTAACCCCGAAAATCTACCACCATATGGTAGGTATCTTTCTTTGACACCATGTATAGATGAGAAAAATAATTACTTTTGGAGGGTCGAACGAGGCCTAAATTGATAATTTATTTTTGGTTTCATTCTTAGCAATTCTTAATCTATCTTTCATGTAAGCCTAGTCTACATGAAACCTCTAGTAGGACGAATAGTTTCAATGAAATGCATAGTATTATGCTTAACAGTGTCTTTAAGATCAGAAAGCTGCCCCGGTGAATTATAGTTAGACAGTAATTTAGCATATATACGCTATTTACACTAATTCCTTTGATAGAGTACAGATGTGTGTTAATGCCACTGCAATTAATTTTTAAATCAACAAGCTTCCTTCTTAAACGTGTTATAAATCAAAATAATGCAAAACCTTAGATACAATAATATTCGTTGACACTTTACACACAGGAAAGTTGACGCTTTACACAAAGGAAAATTAAAATTGCAACGAAGACCGAGGTCGAGACTTTGGTTTTTGTCCGTAAACCGGAGTTGGAGTACCGTTGGCAGCAGAAAATGTCATAATAAGTGTCTGACGCATTTCATCTTTAGTTGTTGGGAGGAGACTTATATGTGATGCTGTGTCACACAAAAAGACTTTCTGTCTTTAATAAAAAGGCAACAAGATTCAGAGGGTAAAGCGCAAGTCGCCATTACACTCTCGCCGGTTCGTTTCCCTGAAACATACATAGTGGAACACAGTTTTTGGATTTTTCATTAAATTTGCGATGATACCAGCAATAGGAAAAATTCGAAGCAGTCCAGCTAAAGAAATCCGCTTATTGTTAGAGCGGCTGCAGCGCGCAGCCGAACACTGCCAATATATAATAACTAATTTTAATTAAACGTATTAATATAAAAGGGTATATACATTTTTATTTTACTCTTTATTTTGAAATTAACATTTTAATATAAAAGAATGTATAAATTCGTTCTTGCTTTTGATTTTGATTTTGATTATGAAAAAATGTTTTAATCTAATATAATGCAATCATTTGCACATTTTTCTATTAGTGTCGTCTCTTGTATGTATTAAATTGTACAAGTATCGATAGCTTTTTAATTGTTTTTACACTACTGTGAGAGTGTAGGGGGTATGATTTTTATAAAATAGGAATCTCATTTAATTCAGTTCTTAAGGAATACATGGGATTAAGAAGAATATCTTATTTATTTTTTTTATTAAATTTATGATAACTTTTTTTGGCTTAAGTAGACTAATATTTTTCTAATAATTGGTTATTATTCGTAGCTTATGATCTAAGTCTAGCAAAATAACTAATTTGATTCTTACTTAGAAAAAAGACGAAACACTCTCACTTAATTTGGTTATTGTTAATTGATAGTAGATCGTTTTTTCTAAGTATTCACCAAGACTGGGAGTTTGATATAACTAGAATTGCTTTCAGCGTAAAATATTTGGTAATGTTAATTTAATGGCAAAACATTCAAATTAGAAAATTATAATTTGAGGTACAACCTTAAACAAATTCCTAGGGACGAACGTAAATGAGCACAAAAGAACTAATTCGGCAGAATGAACGCATATAATTATAATCCAAATGTTTATAAAAGTAAAATTATGAACAGTGCGGTACATCATAAAAAACATACGTCCATCGTCAATTTCGAGTTGAGTAGAAAATTTATAAAGAATAAAAATGATAACGTACTCATGAATTTTCATGCCTTTTGTAATTGGCCCAATCTGAAAATTTAAATGTTTTATGTTTGCTTTTTTGTAATGTTTTATGTAACTGAAAAATAGGAACTATTGTGTTTTAAATTAGAAACGAATAAATTTTACACTAAGCTTATGCAAAAATAATACTTCCTAAGAGAATACCGACTTTTGTTTAGAAATTTCTTTCCTTTGGGCCTATGAGCTATGAAGTATTTGAAAGTCTGCTGGACTGAAACCTAGTAATTGATATTTTGCAAACCTTTACAATTTTCCTCAAATTCCTAAAAGCCGTCTGGCCAAAGCTGTCGAAGATACATGATTCATTCTTTGGATATGCTAAAAATGAAGATATTCAAATTTATATTCATAAAAACACACTTGGTCTTTTCTTACTTCTGCAAATACCCTCGTATGGTGCATAGCCATTTGGACAATAGCATTCTTTATTGCCATAGCTATCGAAACGGCAATCTGAATTCCGTCCACAGTAGCATCCTGCAAATAATAAATAGACCTTTTTGAAATTATAATTAATTTACAAATAAATTTGCACTTCCACATGTTATATTATTTAAAGAAATGAAAAAGCAGCATTATAATACACTGGTTTCCAAAAATTAAGGGGAAATCACAAAAAGAGCGGTAACTCGTTCAAAAATAAGCCAATAAGTACAAAATATAAATATGTTATCAAATAAGAATTGCTAAGTAAACCTACAGTATGCAAATTAGTGGCGTTGCAATCAAAATGCAACATCTGCCAAGGGAATAAAATTGTATATTTCACAGCAAGCCTGCAAATTTCGCTGTGTTACTGAGATAAGAAATCTGGGATAGTTCATTTATAGTAATGAACTATAGGCATTTTTTCCGAAAAATTGCGATGGAGAACTGTTGGAAGACTAGAGACATGAGAAAGTGAGAAGTGGCCAGACGACTAAATGTGAGTCCTTCTGCGGTTCATAGAGTTTGGCAACAATTTCTAACCACAGACTCGGAATCCAAAAGGTTCAGCCCAGGATGGCCAAGCCCTACGATGAGCGCTGACACACACGAACCAAAAGAACCTCAACTCCGACTCATATCAGGTCCTCCTTTGCTGAAATGACTGAAAGTTCATTTCAGCAAACGTCAATTGTGTGCAAACGCTTCACGAAGGAGGTCTGCACACGAGGTGATTAGCCGTTTGCATGCTGCTCACGTCACGTGGTAGAAGGGAAAATTTCAGGTGGGCACGTTAACATGTCACTGGACAGCTAATTACCGGAGGGCTTTTTCCATGTACGGATGAATTCAGGTTAGCCTCCAAAGCGATAGTAGGCGTTATTCGATTTGGAGAGAACTTGGAAGCTGTTATCATTCAATTATTAATCAAACATCCGTGAAAGAGAAATATACAGAAGAGGTACTGTCTATGTTTGGAGTGGTATATCTTTGGATGAACTCATAGACCTCCGCGTCTTTTCACGTGGAACCATGAATACTCAGGCCTATAGAGATGACATCCTAGATGCTTATGTTCTCCCCTTATACCGGGACAATATGTGATAAGTAGATGGGTGACTGCTACAAGGTGACAATAGGTGACTGCCACAGGATGGCAACGAGCCCTGTGCAGTCTAGTGTTCGTGGATCTTCAGCAGCAAACAATTCAGTGCTTGGAACTGCTTTGCAAGAGCAATTATATTCAGTATGGAGATAATACTCCATACTGAATATAAGTTTCTTATACTAAACTGACACATCCGATTTCTTTATTTTATACGTATGCTAATTACTATAACACTGTAACTGTCTGGTAATTTCTTTTTTTGTTATTTTATATCTTGCTATGTGGGGTATACTGTGGGTCTGGGTCATTAAATTCTACATGTAACCTTTTGAGTAACAGTCATTTTGGGAATTCAACTTTAATTAATGATAACCACTGTATAGTATCTTAATTTTTATTAAAGATTCTTAAAAAACAGCACACATATGATCATTGATGCTGAAAGAGCGAATGGGAATTTCTTTCTAGACTAGGCATCCCTGAGAGTCCAACAACTGAGCCATCAGGATTTACAATACCATCTCGGCAGATGATGTGCATAGATTGATGAGTAACAAACAGTACGAAGAATGGAGGTATACAAAACTAAATTGCAGAAGTATAGAAAAGAAGGACGCATGATCCGCACAACATGGGGAATATGGCATTACGTACGAAAATAGAAGAGGAAATATAGATGTTAACAGAGATCAAAACTTCATGAAATAATTAATAATTTTATATTTGGACGCTATTTACTCTTGTAAAATCCTATATGCTTACATAATTTTCAAAATATAGAGTGTTGTAAAAAAACCCTCTAATCTATATAATATATTCGCAGTTAAATCCGTATATTTTATATCGATATATAAAAATATCACAAAATATAGAGTGTTGTAAAAAAACCCTCTAATCTATATAATATATTCGCAGTTAAATCCGTATATTTTATATCGACAGAGTGATTGAATTAACAGTTTAATCTACAAAGTATCCCACAGTAAATTTATCTCACAGTAATATTGAAACATATAACAAAATATAGCCCACAGAAAAGAAAAACACATTGCAACACAAACTAAAAAATACAATATGGAAAGAAAGTACAACAATAGTGATTAAAATTACGTGAATGCGCAATAAAAGCCAAGAGGAGCGCAAAACAGGGATTACTTATGAAAAGGAACTAATAGAAAATTTATGCTGCTAATAACAACACGTAAACGCAGTTACATAAAAAGTCTCATATGTAAAGTGTAACTTAACATAAGGACGATAAATAGAAGTAAATAAACTTACGTTTTCGTGAAGCTGACGAACGTTAGGATGTGGGTATGCAGTTATACGGATAAAATTATAAATACCATATGTAATCCGTATACAAGCAGACAGAAACGTAATATTTTTTTTTAATTTAACAAACGCAGAATAGTACAAAAAGTTTCAATGGTATACATTTACAGAAGCATAGTTGAATGCATTCAAAACAGTTATTTTAATTCAAAAACTTTCAAAGGATAACACAATAACACAGATTCACAGAAATATTATTAGCACAAAACAAAATAAATCACCTTTGGATGAAAATAGATATAAATGAACGAATATAATTAATTTTCTTAAGAGTACAGTAACTAGAAGATCTTATTGCGACCTTTCTAAGATTATCAGCTGACGCACTGTAGGGGTAAAGGGTAAACCAGCATAAATATTATTATGAAATTTGTATATATGTAAATAATTTTAGCGAAATTATATGTGAAATTGTAGTATTTTTTAGAAAGAGACGAAGTTCTGCCGGAAACATAAGAATCCGGGCACAAGTCTATTTAACATTGAGATAAAAGACTAAATGGATAATATGGCAAGAAATCGCTAAAATCGACAAAAATGGAGACCACTTGGCGACATTTGGTCACATTTCTCTATAACTGTAATTGGTATTGCAACTGGTTAATTGTAATTTACCCTTGTATGTAACTGTAACCGTATTTGACCCTGATGTGTAATTTAAGCTGTATATGCCTCCAATTTGCCGATAATTTCAAGAAGCAAGAGAACAGAAAAAAAACAATTAAAAATACCTGTTAGAAATTAAGCACAATTACCTTTACACTCTCCTCCAAACTCTTTGTACATCTTATCACAGTTGCAAGTTTTCTCTCCATGGTTATCAAGTGAACATTTTCCGTTTGGTCCACAATTGCACTCTGGAATGCAAGAATATCAAACAATGAAATTTATTACTATTGTGGAGCAGGAGGGGTACAAATATATTGCTTAAATACCTTCAAGTAAAATGCAAACGTAACTGACTGTAAATTATTGTAATTTACTAGAGCTTAAAATTTCATGAAACTTTCACGTTTCCATTTTCACAATTACGAAGATTTACTCCTTAGTGAAACGATCCAAAGCATCTTAACTTAAAAGTAACGAATGCTTATTTAATCGTAGCGATGTTAGGTAAAACACTGATAAGAACAATGCTGAAAATCTTCAAAGCAATGCATCCTATACATGAAAAATCTAATTTTTTATACAGAAAACCAAAGATCAACAACAACAAAATTTCTGCAAACGTATGTGCAGAAGTCATAATTAAATACGAAAAACAATTACTGATTTAGTCTGTCTTTCAATACATGTCTCCTATCTAGATATACTCTTCCCCCACACCAAAATTAGGAAAAAAAAAGAAAAGAAAATTATATATATTTTTTTGGTAAATATTATTACAGATTGGTAAAAGGGTATATGATATTAAATTTGTACATAATTGCGTAAAAACGCTTGCTGGTATTTCAGCGAATTTTGCCCTTAAATGCATACACATGAATTTGGCATCTGCATTATTAACGTACACTGCTGGCTACCGTAAATGCAACACCCTGAAGGAAGCATGCAAATAACATGAAATTTACAACATGCATTAGCGGAGGTGAGATATGCAATACAATTTCAGCGCAGACGTACATCACGCGCGCCTGTGGCTCCACTTCAAAGCGCTATTTAAGGCTTGGACGTTTCGACGATTTCAAGTTCGGCAATTGTGTTTTTCTTGTAGTTTAAAAAAAAAAAAAAAAAAAAAAAAAAAAACCCGATCAGTTATGCCTTGTAGTAAACAGCGATTATCGTTTGATCAAGTATCCGAGTTCGACAGAGGAAGGATAGTGGCCTACCGAGAGTGGGGATTATCTCTCAGGAAAATTGGTAATCGTGTTGCACAAAAAACCGAACAACTGTAATGCGGGTATGTGACCGTTAGATGCAGGAGGTTACGACGGACCGACGTGTTCGATCGCATCCACCTCAGTGCACCCCTTCAAGTGATGACAGGAACATTGTGCGCATCGCAGTGACGGATCGCTCAGTCACATCACGAACCATAGCACAGCACATTCAGTCTGTAACGCATCATCCAGTGTTTGCGTGTACCATTCGAAGCTGTTTACAGCAGAGTGGTCTGTCCGCAAGACGTCCATTGCTTCGTCTACCCTTGCCGCAGAACCACAGACGTCTCCGCCGCCAATGGTGCGATGGAAGAAGGATGTGAACGGCAGAATGGAATGCAATTGTCTTTACTGACGAGCCACGTTTCTGTCTGCAACACCAATATGGTCGGATTCGAACCTAGAGACACTGTGGAGAGAGGATGCTGAACAGCTGCGTTATCCACCGCCACACTGGTCCTGCACTGGGTATTATGGTGTGGGGCGGTATTGAATATCACCCTTAAACTGCTCTAGTACGCATTGCCGATACTTTAAACAGCCAGCGCTACGTCTCCGAGGTGTTGGATCCAGTTGTCGTTCCTTAACTTCAGGGCTTGCCCACAGGTATATTTCAGCAGGATAATGCGCGACCCCACGTGGCACGCATTGTCCAAGGGTTCTCTGTCAATTTGCTTCCCTGGCCGGCCCGCCCTCCGGAACTTTCGCCGATAGAAAACATGTGGTCCATAGTTGCTGAACAACTGACTTAGATTACATCCCAAGCTGCCACACCAGATCTACTTTGGCAACGTGTGGGAACTGCTTGGTCTGCTGTACCCCAAGAACACATCCAAAGTCTCTTTGAATCAATGCAGAGGCGTGTGGCAGCGGTGATCTCCAACAATGGCGTCTACTCTGACTTCTGATTCTGGAAGGAACATCACTTCACAGAAGTCTATAAATTTAATCATTTGATACTTGGTCAACATGTTATCTACTAAATAAATTTTGTTGTGATATCTCTTGTCTTTCTTGTTGTTGCAATTTGGGTGGCCAGCAGTGTATAATGCACATCTTCTCAAGTGGAAATTTTGATCTAAATGATAACATAAAAAGGTGCATTTTGTACGCAGAAAGTCTTAGCATTCAAACTGTTTCCTTAGTATTCTGCCCATTATCTGAAGAACCTTTGCATTTAGAATCATAACATTATAAAATTGTCAATTTAGATATGCAAAATTATTAATTATAAAATTTTAATAAAATATATATAATATATAAGGTAATTCTTTAGTATAATTTAAAGAAATGAAACTTGTATTCACTTGTTTTGTTTCTTCGGAATATTCAGTGTAATGGTTAGGTTTTATTTTCGAAAAAGGAAGCGAAAAATGAATTTTTAAAACTTACCTGTGCACTTCTTCCTACTGGCATCAAACAGTTTGCCAACCTCCTTGCAGATACAGACTGCTCTCTCTGTTTTATTGTCATATGTACATGCGACATCATTATCCGTACCACAGAAATTCGTTTCATTGCAATCAATAATTTCGGTGCAGAAGTCACCGGCAGTTCCTGGCAAACATGTGCAGAATTTCAGACTTCCCTCTCCGGTACAAGTACCGCCATTTTTACATTCGTTATCATGACAAGGTACTGGAAATATATAATAATTACCAAATTGCGTAATTTTTTAGATATAATTGAAACTCTATTAAGTAATTACATTATAATTGCATCTTGAGATAACTATTTAACAGAGCTTTAATTATGACTAAAATGGTAAACTTCGTACACAAATTAAAAAGAAAAAAATTCGTTTGATGTGGACACCATAGGGCTTTCTTTTACAGCTTATTAAATTATACACATTTTTATCTGAAAATCTTTTAAACCTATTTTACGTTCATGCATACATGCTAACATTGCAGTACATTATTATTATTTATGTTACAGCATTGCTTTGCAAAAAATATTGAATAGGAGATGTTGATTTAGTTAATATATTGCATTGCATTAAGAACCAAGATACTAATTAAAGGAAGCAGTAAACTTTTAGTAGCCTTAGTTGTTTTAAAAATATTCTTCTTATAACTTACTTTAATTATACAATTAAAATGTTTGCTTACCAAAACATCCTGTTCCATTGAATAATTTATTTTCTTCGTTGCATTTGCAAGAAGCTTTCCTAGCGGCATTTTTATCGAACTTGCATGTTGCGTCATATAGCTTGCATTTCCAAGTAAGTTCAGGAGTACAGCCATTTACGATAGAGCAGTTATCTCCACTTGTACCTAACTGGCACTTGCAGAAATGTTCTTGATTGCAGACTCCTTCGTGTTTGCAATCAGAATCGTCGTAACAGCTTTCTAAATTAGAGAAATTACATTCACTTGGCTGGATAAAAGGAAAATCATATAATTTGAACATAAAATGGTACTTGGCTAGGAGCTGGCACCCGAAGATACACTGCCAACAATACTGTCTATTACACTACTTTCCTGGGAGCATACTGGCAACGCTAGAAACAGTTAGGATTTCTTCTAGAAAGTTGTTTGAGTTTTTATTATTTATATTTTTATTTATTTGTTTGCTAATCGTTTAGTTTAGGGAAAGTGGAGAGAAAGAATCTTATTTTATTTCAATGTCAAATTGATATTAATTAGAGCTAAGCGTATATGCGTCTCTTTTCTAATCTTCTCTCTCACAAAAATTTCTTTGGCCAGCTTTTAGCATTCGTGAAAATTTTTATTATATTTTCCAACATACGTGTACTTATTGTGACTAGAAATGAGCAGCACTTTTATCGGACTTGCATTTTGCATCATATAGCTTGCATTTCCAAGTAAGTTCTGGAGTACAGCAATCCACGATAGAGCACTTATCTCCACTTGTACCTAGCTGACACAGAAATATAGTTGATCGCAGACTCCTTCGTGCAATTGGAAGGCAATAAAGGTTACTAGCTAGGACTTTAGCAATAAACCGAGAAGTACACAGTTTGAATCACAGATTATTTTGTCTCAGAGAAATGAGAGATTATGAGACATGTGACATTTTTCGGAAAATTCCGATCGTGATTTTAGCTAATAAGTACTTTAGAAACAATTTCGCTGCTAAAGTGCAGAATCGCCCACTTATTTGTTTGGCGCTTTTTACAAGAGTAACAAGAATTGGATTTTTGTCAATTTTCATTAACTTTTTAAGTGAAAATAGGTCGATGTGTACATAGACAAAGTCAAGAGTGTGCGCAATGCCATTTTTGTGCAATTCTGGAATGTTTCTTTAAGTGAAAATAGGTCGACGTGTACATGGATACCGTGTATGTGCAATTCTTAAAAACGCGGCAAGCAGTTTGCGATTCTGCACTTTCTCCCAATTTCGCACCTAATCTTCGTCATGATTAAGCATTTTTGTTCCATAAAAGTTCTAGTATAAGCGTAATTCGGCTAGCAGATTGTTGGAAAAAATGTTGAGTAAAAATAAAAACATGCCTTTACTTCGTGAAAATAAAATGGCGTCCAAAACAAAACTAGCAGGTTGCTGTAGCAGGGTTGGTCGCCAAATTTTCGCCAAAAAATCGCCAAGTTACCATAATGTAAAGATTTACCAAATTAAATTCATATACCTTGAACTCAACCCCTTGAGAACCAGCGTGCGAAGAACGAAGCGCAACCATGGAACAGAAACCCCTGAAATGGAACGCCGCCACCGGCCCACGCATTTTTAGAAGTTAGGTCTACTTTCACAAAAAAATTCATATAAAATCAGCATTTTAATATAATGACCTCAATTTTTCAAGTTACGTACGTAATACAATAGTTATTAATATATATTAATCTAAAGAATATTAATACATTAATAGAAATAAATGGAACATGTGAAATACTAAAATTATAACAATAACCATGTTTACAAATACTATACACATAAAAACAAAATTACAAATATGAAATGTAAAAGAAAATTAAGCAATAATTATCTGTAGGTAATTAAATTCTAATTTAATGATTCTGCTGCGTGTGGAATAATTCAAAACGAGAATCGACACACAGGACAATGGCAACTTTTTTCGTCGTGAATATGCGGAGAAATTAAGATGCATCACGCATCGGAATAGCTGATATCCCACTTCTGTGATAATGCTGTAAAGTTACTTTTTAATTACCCAAGAAAGTATATGTTAAGTTTTAAAAAAATATAAAAAGGGTATAAGTTCTTTCATCACGGCGTTACACCCGTTGTAGTCAGCTATATGCATTTTACCCCATTTACCTAACAAACTAAAAAAAAAAAAAAAAAAAAAAAAACAGGGAAAAGAAAACATTGAGCTGGATGCATTTCCCCATATTCTAATAACTAAAAAGGCACATAATGAAAACGAAGACAACAAAACAACGAAATTCCTAACGAAATAAACAAACACGACGGTATTCCTTTAACTTAAAGAGCTGCGATTCCCAATTTGTTTACATCAGTATATCTACGAAAACCAGAAGCACAGAACAGAAACTGATGTTCATACATTAACGTCAAAAGCCACGTGACTTAACTGATGTGAAAACCGTTACCATTAAGCACTATCTACTGGCATTTAAGAATTCAAATATATAGTTCCTTTTTCAATCTACGTATACGCGACGCTGGTTCTGAACAGGTTAAAGTGCTACTTTGGCTAATACGTAAAGTGCTTACACTGCTAATAGCTGGCACATGCTGATACACTGCCAACAATGCCACATATTGATCTACTTTCTTGAAGCATAATGGCAACCTTAGAAACAGTTCCTGATTCTTATAGAAAAGTTTTTGAATTCTTATTTATTTTTATTTATTTATTTGCTAATATTTTAGTGAAGATAATGTAGAGAGAGAGTCATTTTTTATTTCAACGTCAAATTCATATTAGTTAGAGCTAATCCACTTCCATTTTTTTTAACTTTTCTGAAACAGAAATTTCTTTGGCCAACTTTTTTCTTTCATGATAATTTTTATAATGTTTTGCAACATGCGTGTATTAATTGTGACTAGAAATGAAACAGAATACTGATTAAAAAATCGCGTGATTTTGATTTCATTTAATCTTAAGTTTGAAAAACCGCGAAAATTTTTTAAATTGATAAAAACCCACATGTGTTCCACTTTTTCATGCTGTAAAACTGTTACCAAAGAAATGTCATATTAATAAATGCAGACAAAATTTTGAGTTGTTTCAAATGAAATGTGCGTTGAATGACAGGTTTCTCAAAGTGTTAGAAGAAAAGAAAAACCCTGTGGTTTATGCAAAATTATTATGTCATTTGGCAACGTCACCTGTGGGAAATGCATTTGTTGCATTTATTTCGTTGATGTATTTGTTTTCTTTTTCAACGAGCATTACCATTGAATACTGTACATATCAAGTCAGTTGTAGAATCCAGTTATTTAAGGTTGCTATACCTTTACGTGTCCAAATTGGAAAATTCTAAAACTTTTCGTTTTGAGCTTCTAAAGCCTTAGCAAATTTAATTAGGCAGTAGAAAAGATCTGTAAACATTCGATGATAAAATCATTTCGCTGTTGCTTTGAAGATTTTCTATGAGGATATCTGAAGCTAGTAAAGAATGCCAAATCGAAACATACCCACGAGAAACTGTATGCGAGTTAGCCCACACTGTACATTACACAATGCTTCAGAGCACATCATAATAACAGAAAAATAATTAAGCTCGACTTCTGGATATTTCACGACACTTGGCAGTAACGAAAGTACGGAAGCTCAACAAATGGATGCTTCACAACCTCATTAATGAAAATTAAGTATAATGTTTAGAAGTGCATTCTTCTATCTTAGAAAGATGTAAAGAAGAAACGTTCTTGCAGTAAATGTAACTCAAAATGAGAAATGTATATTTGTGACAGTCGTGCTGGTATTTCATTGTTATTGGAAATGAAAGATATTTCAGGGACAATTCCAGTTACTGGAAGTGAAAGACATTTCAGGGACAATTCTAGTTACTGGAAGTGAAAGACATTTCAGGGACAATTCCAGTTACTGGAAGTGAAAGATATTTCAGGGACAATTCCAGTTACTGGAAGTGAAAGATATTTCAGGACAATTCCAGTTATTGGAAGATAAAGATGTTTCAGGAAAAATGGCAAAGGCAGTTTCGCATCCAAAGATATTGTTTTTTACTGTATGGGGGATATTCTGATGGTGCTGGTTATTCTTTCCATAATGTGATACGATAAAAGCAACTCGGTATTATAAAAATATATAGCAAACGCTTGAAAAACTGTGTTTTAAGTAGCTAACATATGTTAACAGGCATAGAATCGTAGTGTTTCCGAACAACGCCTGACCACATACGTCGTTCTCAGTCATAAATAAACAACAATTCGAAGTACGAAGTTGTGTTTTATTTTCCATTCTCCCCTGAAATTTCTGTAATAGGTGCCAATTGGTCATTACTGGAGGAGTTTATTGGGGAGAGGTAAGAAATTGTTTGCCAATGACGTATCATTTCATAGGGCAATGGACATCCCTCCAAAAACAGTGATGTTTTACAAATGTGGTATGAACGACTTTGTCATACACTGGAGAAAAACATCGATACTGCTGGAGACTACGTCAACAGATGTTACTCGACTTTTTATTGTCAGATTTTTTTCAATCGTAATTAAAATCGGCCACTCCATTTTCTGCATTTCAGTATTAGAATTAAACCTGAAAATGAAAGAAGGGAAATCTTGCATAGCATTGCAAGATTAACAGCAAAATTCATATGGAGGCAGGTATAAGTTGCAAAGAATAACAATTTGTTTGACGTGATTTTGAGTCTTCTTACTAAGCAGTTCTCAACGGAAATCAAACCAATCTATTAATTCGGCCTGTCAAACCTCGAAACTACATTAGCCAAACATGTGCTAATATTTGTTGACGGTGTATCAATGAACATCGCCTGATTCGTAAACTCCCACAAAGTTAAATTTAGTAATAAATATTTAATTTCAGAATAAATAGTTAAGTAGTGAATGAATAAACAACTATGTAAACTATGAATAAACAACTATGTAAACTATGAATAAACAACTATTTGACGCTTTACTGGAACATTTAACTTACATTTAACTATTACTTACATTTAACTAGATACTATGGTAAAAACTGAAAACGTTTTAATGCATTTGCTTCTTAACAAATGCTAGGTTAACATATTTTTATACAGTTTAATCAAATTTCAAGTAACTTACCAACACAGTTTTCTCCATTGAATACTTTGCTTGCTTGATTGCAAAAGCAAGAAGCTTTCGAGAGAGCGGTTTTATCGTATATGCACGTTGCGTCACCTGATATGCATTTTTGCTTGAAACTATCTGTACAGCCATCGATTATAGAACATTTATCTCCGCTTGTACCTACTTCACATTCACAGAAATTTTCTGCGTTACACATACCCCCGTTTTCACAATCAGAATCGCCATGGCATTTTTCTAAAATGAAAAGAGAATTCTTCTTTTACCATCTGTTGGGGGAAAAAAATTCAATATGTAATTCGAGGGTTATCGGAATTTTAAATGGAATGATGTACTTGAAGTTGCAGCTTTATATTTACGCATATATGTAATATGTATGTATTGCGTGTATAAATGCTTTATTTCTTTTTCAAAAGTATAAAATGTTATGTATATAACCTCTGCATCTTTTGTCCTGATTTTAAAGCATTGGAACGAATTCACTCGCAATTTCTAAAGGTCGACAAAAATTTGTTGGAAATTAATAAATGCGTGTAATTTAGGCTAAAGTAAAATTTTTACTTAATAGTAGTTAATTGTTCTTTATAGTAAATTTACATTTAATCTTAATTATCATTTACTTGCAAGGAATTATTTACTACTGCTACATTAATTGTTTTATAATGCTTCTAATGTAAACTGTCACGTGCTTCAGTCCTTTCAGCTCGACAGAGATACAGTACAGCTAAAGGTTTTCTCTTTCGTTATCTTCTCGACTTATGCTATAATTGATGTAATATTTGGCTAAGGATCCCCAAAGATGCAGAATATTTGAATGCTTTATAAATCCCTGACTTAAAATCTATCTAATCAATAATAATGAAATTTGGATCCCTGTCGAGCAATCAGAAACACTGAAAGTGCTCAGTTGCAGTTGATGAATCAAGTACTGGAATCGAAAATCTGACCATGAAAATAATACTAGCAAGTATTCTTGAAAGCATTTTGAATTTCTCCTCGTTTGAATTAAGACTTTAGGCAAGTCGGAATCAAATAGACAATTTGCTACCTCATTTTCCTGAATTTTCACCAGTATTAAAACTTGTTCACTGTCTTTAAATACATCGTAACTAAATCATTTAAGGAAATGAGTATTGTAGTTAATTTATCATCCATGTATTACAGTCTGTTACTTTAGCATAGGCATTACGAGATCGTAGCAGTCCTCCTCATTTAGATCTCTTTTGCCTCCTGAGGCAAACGATCGTAACGTTTGCCGTCGTCATCGCACGAGAATTAGGGAAGTTCAGAAGATTGAAAGTTTCGACTTTTTTCCCTTGGCAGTCTTACCAAGTCTTTTTGAATCAACGGAAAGAAATGGCTTCGAAGTGTCTGAAAACTATAATTGTAAACTTCATATTTCTTTATATAATGATTGTTGAAAAAGCTGAAAAATTACGTTAAAAGATTATTTCAGATACATCAGCTTCATTAAGTGCTGAAGAGTCATATGCAATGAATGTAGATTTTGGGATCTTTTAAGAAAGTTGTTTTATATGTCCATACGTGAATGCAAAATGTTTCTAGTCAGCATATTTTTAAAATATAATGATTCATATTATTGCAATTCATCATTGTTTCCTTACTTAATTACCTAAAATGCAAATAATAGATAATAAATACAAATAATAGATAAATTTTCGCAGTTTCATTAGTACATAAAAAATACGTTGACACAATAATTTCTTAGGCCCACCAGCGGCGAGCGGTAAAATCTCTGAACGCTGGTAGTTCGTTCCGAGGTTCGAATCCCGCGAACGGGCTGGCTGCATGGGCGTTTTCGTGGTTTTCCCCATGTGTAACGTGTATACGAGCCAGTTTCCCTTAGAAAGGCCTCCACGAAAGGCATCCCTCCCCTTAGGCAGATAGCCCTAGTGTGCTTTGCCGTATTCTCAGTACACACATACAGACACAATAATTTCAAAGCACTGTTTGAAAAGCACTATGTCCTTTCGATATAAGATCCTGAAGTTAATAATTTTTATTCCTATGAAAATTGGAATCATTATAGGTGAGCATTCACTGTGTGCGCAATAGTGACTCAAAAACTGAATAACAGAAATACGTTAAGATATCACGTAACAAGAACAGCCATAACTTAACTTTCTTTAGGGCTAAAGCTCATAAGGGCTATTGACCTAAATTTAATTCCAATGCTGATTACTTTGAAGCAACACTGAATATAGAACTCCAAGTATCCTTACTGAACAAACTCTCGAGGTATCTGTGGTATCCTCATTATTACGGGAGCTATCATTCCACCTTTCTTTCTTTCAGTTCATTGTAGTTGGTTTGATGTCACGTTTTAACACAATACTGTGGAAAGACATCTAAATTGATCAGCTGTATAAAGCAACAGTATTCGTGGCGCTGTACATTTTTTCTTAATATATAATTTCTAAATATATTTCTTATAGTCAAAGCCCATAAAGGTAATTGACTTAAGCTCAGTTCCAATGTTCATTACTCTGATGCACCACTGAATATAGAACTCCAAGCATACATATCCTTCCTTACTGAACAATTTCCAGAGATATCGGCGGTATCTTCAGCTATATAAGAACTACCTTTAATGCTTTTTTGTACCTTTTCATTGATTGCAATCGGTTTGACGTTACATTTAATCAACACAAACTCTTTCACGAGATTTAGCATAAACAACTCAAAGAAGCAATGGTGTTCCTGATATCGTAAAATTATTCTTAGCATTTAATTATATTTTGAATTTCGTCTATTTTTTAATGCTATACATTATTTTTATTTGATTGTTTGCTGAATTATATGTTAAAATGTTTTGCATATATTGAATTGTGTGGCCAAATACAGGCAAATCGGAACAATTGGGCAAAAGCTTAGGGTGTGATAGAAGGCAGCTATACGAACAACAGCCATCACAGAATGTAAGGTCGGAATGCAGGTGATTAGAAGTTAAAGGGTAGTTTTCCACTGCCCCATTTAAAACATTAACACAAGAATGAGAGAACGTACTTCAGTAAACATTTTTTTATCAGAACATGTTCATATAAATCACTCAAAAGTCCTTTCGCCAGCTGTAGTGTGAGCTTCTCACCTACAGGATAAGGATTGATGCACATTTGCGAAGACACCAGGCATTTCGCGAATATTACCGGCATCAACGGCGATCCTGGCGACTAGATCCATAATTGGTTTCTTCGGGGCAGTCGTAGATTAGGCTTTTCATATGGCCCCACACGATAAAGTGCTAACCTTTGGTACCACCTCGACCAATTCATCGCCCTGGAAATTTCGTCGCTGATATAACCAGCAATCCTCTCGGCAATCGACGGTAGAAAACTCCGCTGAGGGCAAGAACTGAACCTTTATTTACAATGCCAACTAGCGGCTCTACGTTTGCATTCAGACCATACATTCTATGACAAATAGGTGTCTTCTATCACGCCCTAAAGTTTTGTTGACTTGTTCAGATTCACCCTGTGTAGTGTATATGTTACCGATAAAACTCGAAAGCCGCTAATGTGCGTATCACCTAGCTAATCTGCAGATGAACTGATTTGCTATATTAACGTGAGGATCAAGTGGTTTACTTGGTAAAGTGCATATTAACAGCTTCCGTATCGTTATAGTTCTAAAGTTTGTTTCTTTAACGTTTGATTGATTCTATCAACTAATTCGTTGATTTCTTCACTGCATTAACTTGATTCTTTAGATATCTAAAAATAAATAAATAACATTATGTTAATTTAATCGTACAGAAACATTGCTATTGTTTTAGCAAAGATCTTCTTTTCACTTTAACAAGTGACTAATAGATAATGTGCAAATTATCTAGGTATTTTGAAAACTGAGGCAATTTTCGGCATTTTAAAGGATCTCCCTAGTTAATCTGGACATCACCTAGATATTATGTAGAATAACTGATTTCTGCACTTTAGCGGTAACATATACAAGTTTCGTACAGTGAGCTGTATATCTTGCTGTTCTGAATCAATCAAATTTTATATTGTAAAAAATTTCAAATATAATTCAACAAATAGGCAAAAAATGTTTTGATTGTCTTTCTAGATCGTTAAAATTAAAAACGAACATCAAACTCTGTTTGAAATATAGCTATTGATTTAGCTTACCAACACAACTTTTCCCGTTAAATACTTTATTCTCTTCAATGCAAACACAGGAGAATTTGCCAGACGCATTTTTATCGAATTTACATTTTCCATCAGCAAACTCGCATCTTTTAACGAAATCCTTTGTACATCCATCTACAACAAAGCACTTATCTCCACTTGTTCCCGGTACACATTTGCAAAACTTTTCTTCTGTGCACACTCCTTCATGGTAACAGTCAAAATCCTCGTAGCACTTTTCTAAAATTGGATAAAATTTTTAACTCATATTTCAATGAAATGTAATTTTATTTTTTCATTTTACGAAACATACTTTCAAAATCTTACTTTAACCCTTAGAAAACCGAAGCCTCAGCTAAACTGTATGCTTAAAATATAGAAACGCCTGAAATGATTTTCAAGATTCACAGCAATCTCCCCTCCCCGCCATTAACGTACAAAAAGTGTGAAGATTTCAAATGTCACGTAAAACTTAAAGATAAAAATCTACAAATTAATTTTTTTTAGACAAGCTGTCAGCAATAAATTTATACAATGCATTTGGAGTAACTGCTTCTACTACTGCATACCTTAGAGGAAGGGAAGAAAACAACATCGCACTCTCGGCCGTTTTGGGTGGTTGTCGTCGTTTGAATGAAAGGTCTTCTCGGGCGTTTCGGTTTTCAAAGGATTAATTGGAATGTTACACATTTCTCTCCAATAAAACATAATCTTTAAACTCCATTTAATAAAACATTAATTTAAGAGTGTATTTAATTCATAACTCTAGAATTATATGAATATTTATTTGCAAAGGAATTAGTAAAAATATTTTTTCACAAAAAGTCTGATATTTGATTAAAAATTCAACGCAATTACTTTTTAATAGGTATATTGCTTATCGCAAATACGAAGCGTACTGACATGAAAAATATACTGCAAGGGATTGGTTTCTCATGAAAGACCAATAAATTTTCATTACTTTGTTATTTAAAATGTAGAGTGATCTTCTACTGAGTATTTTTTAATTCTCATATTTGACTTATATTTCTCCTTTACCTTTCCTGATCGTTTTTAAATTCTTCATCTGCTGTGTCAGGGCCATTTTTATAAATAGACAGTAACACATGTTAGACTTGCTATTTTTTAAAAATGTTAATTATATTACATTTCGCATAAAGAAACGTATCAGTATTCCTTTAGTTTTACTGAATGTTCTTATATTTCTTCATTTTTAAAATAACGACTTTCAAATAACTCCACCTAAATCTTTATTAGTCAATCAATAAAAAATAGGTCAAAATTAGCTCTTAAAGTTAAATTTCTTTTCAGATTCACTATCTTTACGTATACTTTATATATTTTTATTACAAAACAGGTATTTATGTCTAAATATATAAACTATGATTGTAAAAAACTGGAAGATCTTGCTTTTCACTTTCATTGATTAAATCGTACTTTCCTGCTTTCTTTCGGTTAAGGAAAGTTTTAAAAACTAGTTTGATTTTACTTCATAATAAAATGAACTAAAGTTGCTTTCTTTTTTTAATCATAAGTTTCTTTAGATTATCAAAAGTAGCATACAATAAAATTTCAAATAAGGAAAGCATTATCTTACCAACACACTTTTCTCCATTAAATACCTTTTTCTCTGCATTGCACACACAAGAGAATTTTTCTGGTACATTTTTATCGAATTTACATTTCCCGTCTTCGGATTCACATTTCATGACAAATTCTGGGGTACATCCGTCCACGATAGCACATCTGTCTCCACTTGTACCAACTGGACATTTACAAAAGTTCCCGGACATACATTTTCCTTCATGCTCACAGTCACAGTCACCGTAACACATTTCTAAAATTAAAAAAAAAAAAATATGATGTCTTGGATAAACAGTTACTTGCTTACATATTAGAACGTATTTTATTAGGAGTCTCAATTACATATTGTCTCAACCACTTGTAATGGAGATTATAATTAGTAGAAAGAATAAGTAATTGATCATCGGTTACATGCCATTAAACCTTTCCAAGTCCTCAGACTTATTCCAGACTTTATGTATACCAAATGAACTGTTCCAATAAGAAATTAAAGAAAAGCAATTAATTATTTTCTGTAAAAATCCTAATGTTTTTTTTTCTAACATTGTTTAATATTGAAATACAACGTAGTGGATAAAATATGTGCTGTGTATAAATGACTTTTGGTTAACCAAATCAAAAGCAATCTCTCAGCATACTCTTAAGTTAAGCTCTTAATCTTTGTCTCTTAATAGATTTCACAGCTTCTCAACGTTAGCCGATTTCATTGTGTCTTTGATTTTCATAATTGTATAACCTCCTTCTCTACATATGGTATGAATTAGCCAACTACCGAATACCCATGCCATCTTTATACATTTCAAAATTCTCATTTTTCATTTTTATAGGGATCTTAACCATTTTCTTTGTTGTTTGGCTATCCTCATTAACTTTCTTAAAACTTACTGTTAACAAATTTGTAAAGCATTTGCATGAAAAATAAATGTTACATGACATTTTAGTGTTATATAGCTGGTTAATAGCAGCATTAGACGATTAGGCATTACTGCATTAAGCATTACTGATGCTCATGAACAGTCGTAACTTCTTCTCAAAGCGATTAACAAGGGTAGTTCGCTCACTTTGTCAGTCAATGAATTCAAGTCGTATTTCAAAAAAAGTTGTGTTCCAAAGAAACATTTTCACTTCCAAATAGGATGTATATCAAATTAGATTTTTACAAAAAAAAAAAAAAAAAAAAAAGGGGGGGGGCAGTGCTATATCTCCCGTTCTAATTCTAGTTACATGTTGTTCGATTGACAACATGTAACTTTCATTTTTCATGTCTGGAAAGCACGACGTAGGACATATATTACATTTATATATAGCAATGTTCTAACTTAGGTATTCTGATACAAAATCCGACTTTTTCTGAAATGGCATGCTGACTTTTTCTATATTTCAATTCTACTATTCAAATTATGGCAAACTGCCAGTTTTGTAAAAGTCGCACGATTAGTTTTTAAAAAATAAGATCTCAAAATGTTAGCTCCTCAAAATTATTTGAATTCGGTATATATTTATTAATATCTCTTTTTTTTTAAACTCAACTTGCTTGATTCTTTCTTTCACATTTCGAAATTTAGGTTCAATCTATATAAAATTTGCGGCTATTTTCAGATTTGTTTTTAAAATTTGAGTTTTTACCAATTTGCATAAAATTTTCGAAAACATTTTTGGAATGTTAGTTATAATATTGTTACGAATTTGGTATTTTAAAACCTAATGTTAGTTCAATTATAAATTAAATGGTTTTATTTCCCGCGTAGTGCAACGCGTGACGAATATTAAAAGAAAGCTAAGCCGGAAAATTGAAAAAAACAAGAGTGCGTGCATTAAACATTTAATAAATATCTCTTTTTGATTTCGAGAAAGTACTAGAAAATTCTCGCGCGCGATTTTAAAATCTTATAAAAGGAGGAAAACCTCTCAGTTCGTTGAAGACACTCAGTTTGTTGTTGTTTTGAAAACTGTTATTGTTGATTGTAGCGAATTCGCGGATTAGCTTTCTTCAGCTGTTTTGAGTTAAGTTCTATTGACCGTTTGAGTAGTTAAAAGATAACTACTGTGAGATATTGTAATACTGCACGATAATTTGAGGAAATTTAAGCATATTTGTTGCGATAATAATAAATTTTTGTTCATTTTTCATCGGACTTGTGCATTCATTTCATAACGAACCCGTACGCACGCAACAATTTTTGGTGTCAGAAGTGGGATTTTGAATGCCAATTACAAGAGCGATGAAAGAACAATTCAGGCAAATGAGGACTGCATTTGCTGTTCACATCACGCCTTTTCGGAGTGCCCGACAGAAACAAGAGAAATCCTCTCGCTGCAATATTTCATCGATGGCATCCGGGACACTGAAATACAGAAAGCACTGTGAATGGCGAATGTTAAAGATTTGAAAAGCGCTTTAGTGTACGCCATGAAATTCAAGGCAGCCCAGCAAGCCACTCGTCGAGACCGCCACCCAGTCAGAGCTGCTCAAGTCCACGAGCCAGTGGATGAATTGATGGCTCGTTTAGATGATTTATCCAGACAAGTCGACGCTTTGATACGGAGTAGGAGTGAGACAAATGTGGCTGTAAGGTGTTGGAAATGTGGTATTGAAGGGCACATACGACGGCATTGCAGAACACTCCAGGGCACAGATAATAAAATGGATGACTTGATAAGACTAGTGAAATGCCTTGAGACGGAATACTGGTGAGAAGAAACCAATCCTAAAGTGCTGGAACTGCGTTGTTGAAGGCCACATACGAAGGAACTGCAGAACACCCAAGAGCACGGAAAATAAGAGAGGCGGGTTAAGCAGGCAATTAAATGCCATGAGACGGAAAAGGATTGACAAGAAACCAAAGTGCTGGAACTGTGGAACTGAAGGGCACGTGCGAAGGAATGGCAGAACACCCCGGAGCACGGAAATTGGGACCATTTACCAGCAACGACGGAGGAAACAAATGAATGACCATATCCAGGAACGGAGGTTGCCAGAGAATGAAAAACCTTGTTTTAAAGCTCTCAAGATTTCTACAATGAGTGGCAACAGCAACGGACTGTCCATCAATGGGCACATCGATGGAGTTCCTTTCAATATGATCATTGACATAGGAGCTAATGTTACCATTATTCGGAGAGATTTAGCTCAATGGATTAGAGATAAACTTATTTGGACGCCATCCTGTGTTACCCTTCAGACTGCATCTGGTGATAAGATCGACATAGCTGAGAAGTTAAACGTGAACATCATGTTTGGAAGTGCCTCCTACCATCACACGGCATATGTGGCGGATATTACAGATCCATGTGTACTCGGATTGGACGTTTTAAGGAAATATAATTTTTCCTTAGAAGTCAAAAACAATAAGCTGTTCTCAGCATCTGAGGACATGACGATCCATTTTCAAAAGGGATCATCGCCTGGAAAAGCCGACGCCTTGTCCGAAAGATCCAGCTCAGGAAGCTGACGAAATCATAGTAGGGTCGAAAAGAAACGCAAGACTACCAGCTATTCTCCATCCCACATGGTCTTCGGTCGAGACATTCCTCTGCCTAGTGACCTCCTGTTTGGTCGCCCTACGGATGCCCCTTCATCGCTTGAGGAATATATCCAAGATGTCCAGGCCCGGTTTGAAGTGATGCACCGTTCCGAACGAAGCGAGTCAACTTGGCGACGGAGAAAGTGAAGTCCAGATACAACAGGAGAGCTACTGGACATAGATTGAACAAAGGAGATAAGGTGTGGTTGTGGAACCCGATTCGACGAAAAGGAGTCAGGCCTGAATTACAGTCACCTTGAGATGGTCCGCACACAGTCCTAAACAGACTGACTGACGTCGTGGTTCGGATCTGTAAGTCTTCGAACTCTAAACCTAAAGTCGTTCATTACGACAGGTTAGCTCATTACTATGGCCATAGTACGTAAAGTAAATAATTGTAAATAGTGTAAGACCATGGTCCTTTTGGTTTTTAAATGTGTATTTTGTATTTGATTTGTATTTGATAGCATTTGATTTGTTTTATTTATTGCATTTATTGTTCATGTTGTTTATTATTGTAATGCAATGCTTATTATTGTATTCATGCCTTAGTTGTAAGTTTGGCTTCCTGTCCAGGGATTGTACTGCCCGGGACGTGCAGTCCTTGGGAAGGGGGCAGTGTTACGAATTTGGTATTTAAAAAGCTAATGTTAGTTCAATTATGAATTAAATGGTTTTATTCCCCGCGCAGCGCAGCACGTGACGAATATTAAAAGAAAGCTAAGCCGGAAAATTGAAAATACAAGAGCGCGTGCATTAAACATTTAATAAATATCTCTTTTTGATTTCGAGAAAGTACGAGAAAATTCTCGCGCGCGATTTTAAAATCTTATAAAAGGAGGAAAACCTCTCAGTTCGTTGAAGTCACTCAGTTTGTTGCTATTTAGAAAACTGCTCTTGTTGATTGTAGCGAATTCGCGGATTAGCTTTCTTCAGCTGTTTTGAGTTAAGTTCTATTGAACGTTTGAGTAGTTAAAAGATAACTACTGTGAGATATTGCAATTCTGCACGATAATTTGAAATATGGAATATTTGTTGCACGTGATAATAACGCCACATGTGCTTTACGCACTTAGTTAAAATTAATTGAAAAACGTGTAGAGACATTAGGTTAATTGGAAAAGCCGCAGAGATGAAAATTTAGCAACCGGCAACTTCGCCGGGAATCGAACCACGGATCTCTGGAATACAGGCCCAGCGTACAGAACTACTACATCACGAAGCCACGCCAAGAAGGTGGGAGAAATACCTTATAAACGAACGATACGCTAATCTCCCTCGCGCACAGTGAAAAAGGGAAAGTAAACGAAGTTGCTTTAGATTAAGAATTTCGCCAAGTAAATTATTTTTAACGCCATCTGTAAAAGTGCGCCAAGATAAATTTTTAAATTTCTGGGTAAGTTTCTCATAAACTTTTACAAAAATCTAATATTTGGGCATTATTTGCGCAAATATGGAAAACAAAATCGGAAAATTTCATTCATTCCCATTTCAGAAGAGTTCCATTTTGTGTCAAAACATTTATGTTACAACAATGCCACATATAAATCTAATACATGGCCTATTCCGGTAGCGCTTGCGAGACAAGCAAAACATAATTTCGTCAATCGGCCCGGTAGATCGGGGAGATATGCACTCATGACCATAAATTAAGGATAATTCAGAATTGCATAGAAATCGAAACCTTAAGTAAAAATTTCACCTGTAGAATTATCGCAGACATCTTCAGGAATGATATACAATACTTATAGGAAGGCATAAGATGACGCCTGTAGTACGTCACAGTGACAAGAATGTAAGAGAAGTGCACATAAAGAATGGCAGCAAAGAAGTAAAATTTTTCGAAAGTATTCTGTAAGCCGCTCAGTGCCACAACCGAATAGTTATGACATGTAAAAGATTTTATACGTGGTAGAATTATCCGCCGACTGGAAGTGGGCGTACACAGATGGAAGTATCCGAGGAACTTGGAAACGATTCGAAAGTGATGGAAATGTCAGTAAACGTGACAGTAAAGGTCGCTCCCGAGTTACGACGCCGAATGACGACAGTATTTGACAGTAACTACCAAAAGAAGCATAAGGAGCACAACATCCGACTTGTCTCGTCAGCTATCTTCAGCCACGGATACGACAGGTTCAAGGTATGTTATGTTATGTAGAAAGGAGGGGCACCTAGTATTTACTCTAAGTAAGCAGATATTAGCCCCACACACAACTAGAAAACTTACAACATTCTGGCATAACTAGGAAAACTTACAACAGTCGTGATGGAAATTGTGACTCCAGTGAGCACTACAAGCACCGGTCATTTTTGTAAACATGATCTGTTTACTATCAGAATTAATTAAGAACTATAAAATTGTCTACAAAGCTTGCATATAAGTCATGTTGTAAAGTTGTGCTGAAACTTTAACAGCTCAATTTTGACGATTCATTATTTGCTTTAACATACGTTTTTATGTTAATTGATTTTCAGAAATTGTATTATTGTCTAGCAGTACATTGTTATTTGCATTTAAAAATTGATCATGACGGGAGTGGTTAGCCTGAAGTAGAGAACATGCAATGTTCATTGGGCTTGTGTGATGTTGTCCGACGAGTCCCGGTCTAACTTGCAGTCTGATTCACATCGGAATTTGATACTGAGAACTCCAGGTACCACCATATCATTGAATTATACTGTTACGGTGGTGCATGATTGCTCGTTTGGGGTGGAATTATACTGGACTCCAGAACAGATCTGAATATTCAGATCGGAACTATGACAGGCCAAAGTCATTGGGACATCATTCCGGAACAATATGTACGTTTGTTTAGGTGTGCCATGGGAGCAGAGTTTGTGTTTATGGTTGAAATCGCCAGTCCTCACTGTGCATATGTAAAGGAATGACTTCATTCTGAGAATATCATCCGTATGGAACGGCCAGCCTTCTCACCAGACTATTTACCGATATTTGAATCCGATAGGGCATGTGTGGGACATACTTGGTCGACGAAGTGCAGCCCGTCAAGAAACTTCTAAGTGTCTACCGGAACTTCTTGGAGCATTTCTGGCCGTGTGTAGTAATCTTCTTCAAACTCAGGTCGATAGTTTGATACTCAGCCTGCCTAAGCATTGTACGGATTGTATTTCACTTTCTGGAAGACATACAATGTATTAACCACCATACTAACCGTGTAATGTTAAGTAATTGTAAGGGAGATATTTTTTGTAATTGCTCCCAGGAGCAAAAATTGTAGAGTAACAAAAGAGTACAACAAAGAGTACAACTTTCATACTGTTTAATATCCTTTAACGTCTGTAGCCGTCTCTCTGGTGAAATGAAAAATTAAGTAAAATAGAAAACGTTTTCCCAGGTATCATCCTGAATTCTGAAAATGCGCCCATTTGACTCCAAAATTTGCTCGACCATTCGACATAGTAATATGAGGACTGTAACTGTAATATGTGCAATTTACATACATGAAGGATCTGGAGATTTGCACAAACCAATAACATACTATTTATTTGCTCTACCTGATTTCACTAAACACATTTGAAAAGTATATATTTCAAAAGATAAGGAGCTCAACCTATAGGAAATAAGAAGCTGAAGCTGAGTAATATCACCATTATAATAAATGACATTGTGCAGAGTGCTGTTTTATAAAATCAGCAAATATTTAAGAGAAGATAAGAAGCTGAATTTGAGTAATATCATCATTATAGACATTGCGCACAATACTTTTTTTATAAAATCAGCAAATATTTGAGAGAAGATAAGAAGTTGGAGCTGAGTAATATCATCATTATAATAAATACTGTGCACAATACTGTTTTATAAAGTCAACAAGTATTTGAAAGAAGATCAGAAGATGAAGCTGAATAATATCATCATAAAAAAAATTGACATTGTGCAGAGTACTGTTTTATAAAATCAAAAGTATTTGAGTTACGTTTTATAACATGGTTTCAGAGCAGTTTCAGATTCCTATGGCCAAACTGTTCAACTTACTCATTTGTCGAATATCCAAATGAATAGCATTGCAAAATTGTACAACTAGGGGCATGAATCCAAAGATCTGAAAAATCAACTTTAGTAATATTAATCTAAGTGGGAAAAATAGGATTATGGCATCTCCAGATACAGAGCGATTACTGAGTTTGAAATAGCTATAAACCATTCATAGAAGTAGTTTAAAAACCTTAGCGGTTATTAAAATGTAGATATTCCATGTATTACAACTATTGTCTGTTACATACAAAATGCAATTAATGATGGCCGACTGATATGCAAGTACCTAAAAATATATAGATTATTCTTATTGCCATGGAACTGAACAACAAATATGTTAGCTTACCAACACATTTTGCTCCATTGAATACTTTATTTTCTTCGTTACATACACAAGCAGCTCTTCGAGGCGAATCTTTACTAAACTTGCATTTAGCATTACCTGACAGACATTTCTGAATGAAATCCGCTGTACAGCCATCCACTAGGGAACATCTGTCTCCACTTGTGCCTGCTTCACATATACAGAATTTGTCTTCGGTGCACATTCCATCATGCTCACAATCAGCATCATTGTGACAAATCTCTAAATTGGAACCAAAATGTACAACTTTTGTTGCAGGAAAAAAAGTTATTTTTGGTTTTTATAAATATAATTTAAAAGAGCATGATCGAAATTTTATTAACACATATCAGAAAAGGATTACTTAAAGTGATTATTATATTATTATTAACCAATAAAATGTGTTCCTATAAACAATAATTTACAGTATATTTCAAGAAATTCAAAATTATTCGTTCATATTTCGAAACCATTTTCTCCTGTGTCCAGTAATGTGTTTCTCACTGATTTGGCTTTTCAGTCAGCCTTGTGAGAAATGATGACAGGTAAGATATCAAAATGTATCCAATTTTAATCTCTACTGCTATGAATTGTGAATGTGTTAGACATTAGTTTTCAACAATTCGCATAGTCAGAAAATTTAATAACCGAGTCAAGTAATGACAGACTTGAAAAAATTTAATTATTAACTTAAAGGATTGTTTTTGTAGTACGCAAGGGAAAACCACGATGTATTGTATCATAGTTTACTTATATTGCGTAAATAATTGATTTATTTGTATTTTATGTCAGTGTGATTGCTTAAGTTATAGTTCTGTCTTCAATTTATTTGTGAAAATACTATGCTGTGTGCAGGAAGCTTACAGTAATTAATATTCCATTGCTGTCAGGTTTGGTATGTTCTCTCTAGAAGAAACATATGAAGTGACATCATACGATAAAGCGCAATTCAAGTTATAGTTCAAACAAAATGAAACTATCTTTCGGTTATTCATCTACAATTCTACATAGATGCTTGGGGTGCTGTGAATTAGATCATTTGGATTATGGCAAAGTGCCCAAGGGCTATAGACATCACATAACTTAAGCTAACCGAAATAACGCGGGGCTAATCTGTGACAGATCCAAAGGAAGCATTTATATTAATGCTTTCCTAAATGTCAGGGCATTAGAGCAAATCTAAGCGTTATGATCGACTTCGAAATCAGTTGAATGATAAGTTGTTTATCTAAACAATAGTCGTTCTGCAAACATTATTCCTGAATTTCTTGAAGATTATTAGCAAACATTATTTCCCATTATTTCTGAATTGTATATCGGAGTATGTTTAATGCAAGCGTAGAATTACCTCCAGTGTTTTATATTTATGGATAAGCAGAACAGGTGTTAAATAACCTATTAGGATCAGCAAAGAATTCAGTATAAAAAAAATTCAGCGTAAAGAAAACATATGAAATCATGAGTGGTGAAACTGAATAGTGCCTCTGCGTTCCTTCTAAAACTGTAGAAAGTAGCATGAGTAAATCGGTGAAACTCAAATCTTAAATAGGCATTTCTGTATAATGTGTCATGACTCACGTTTTTACGAAAACTTCACATATATATTTGAAGAAATAAGTTTTAATCTCATAAATTATGTTTGCATTATAATTTAAAATCGATATCAAAGTGAGTTTTCTTACCAACGCATTTTATCCCATTAAATACTTTATTCTGTTCATTGCAAAAGCAAGATGATTTCTCGGGCACATTTTCATTAAATTTGCATTTTCCATTACCAGACTCGCATCTTTTGACGAAATCATCTGTGCAACCATTCACTACTTCACATTTGTCTCCACTCGTTCCCGCTTTACATGCACAAAATTTTTTTCCGGTGCATTGTCCTTCGTTTTCACATTCATCATCGGAGTTACACATTTCTAAGGAAAAAAAAGATAAGAAAAAAAAAACTCTATATATATGTATAATACAACGAAAAAATTCAATTCAAAATATATTCACTTTGGAAGAGTTATAAAATAAAAATTAAATAAATTATTTTACAAAAGCAATATATAATTGTAAAAATAGTGAATGCTTTTATAAATTAATAGAAATAATAAATTTAAAAATTGATTCCAAAAAGGATTTTACATCTCTAAGTACATCTTCTTCAAGGGGTTATTGCGCTACAGTAGTAAAGGGATGAACTTGTTTCTAAACTGATACAAACACGAATTTGCACAAGTTAATTTTTTTTTAAATTTTATTAAAACACTGATCATTCATCGGTCCATCCCCACAGGCTAGAAAGTTAATGGGCACCTTCCCAAGTTAAAAGAAAACAGAATCCATTACGATACAAATATTGCAAAAGGAGTATCCATACCATGTCTTGGTTGTGTTAAAATAGTTCATTAAATAATAATAATAATAATAATTTAACTATAATAACTACTTTTATATGTATATATGAAGAGGAACAATAAAACATTTAAATAATTTTCGGCAATAAACGGCAATCCTATGTTTTATTTTTTTTTTAAATGATTTTTTGACATTGACAATAACGTCAGTTCAGGTTTATACAGATGTAACTGTTAGCTAATCTTTTGTTTAAGATTACTGTGTGCTGGTACAAAGTATTTGTATTACTTTAAGCTCATACGTGTTTATAAAAGTGTTTCAAATAAAACTAAAGTATGTTGAAAAATTTGACCTTCGCAGTTGAAATGTATTGCTACACCAGCTAAAACTAATTAAACTAATTAAATGCTAAGATTATCATTCCAAAAAAGTAGAGTAAAAGTCTACTGTAATGAAAAAACAATCGCAATAAAATGACGATTTTAGTCAGATGAAAATGCAGATGAAAATAGTATATTAATTATTGCTGATTACATGCAAAACATGCTGACGTTTCAAGACGTATTAGCCTTTTTCAATACTATTATGAAATAATTAAGTAAATCCGAATCGAGTTTCGTCTTCCCGAAATAACTGAGTGAAATTCGATTTTAAAGAATTAATGAAATATCTAGATGAATATTAATTCAAGTAGTTTAAAAGAATGCCCCGACACTACTACTTGAGACTTACTTACTCAGCAATGCATGAATTACTGTGACATACCAGAAAGATTTCATTTTTCGCTGTATTTATACATTTACAAAGCACTAACTTAAATGTGTCGAATTAAATAAAAACTATGCGGAATAGAGGTATTGTAAATGTTACTGCGTATGTAGTAAATATACTGTAAGCAAATAATTCTGGTTTTCGTTTAAAAAAATGTTACATATATGTTTCGGGAAATAAGCAGAAGTTTTCGGTCTTGAAATTTGCTTTAAAAGAATAAATATTAAATAAATGATTGAACTATGAACACAGCATCATAAAAGTGTTTATCGGAGATAATGAATAAGTAGGCCAGTAATAATCCCAAACTGGTAATTTTTGCCGAGAGAACTAAAGCTTTACAAATACACATTTTAATGGAAAGTGTGTACTCACCAACACATTTTGTTCCATTAAATACTTTATCACTTTCAGTGCAAACACAGGAAACTTTCTCAAGAACATTTTTGTCAAATTTACATTCTCCATGTCCTGACTCACACTGCCTGACAAATTCCTCTTTACAACCATCAACTATTTCGCATTTTTCACCGCTTGTGCCTGCTTCGCATGAGCAGAATTTATCTTCAGTGCACTTTCCGCCATTTTGACATTCACCATCGGAGTTACACTTTTCTGAAAGAGATCAAAATATACTTAAAAAAAAGGCTAGTAAATTATTTAGTTCATACATTAAATGAAGATAATCAGTTTTCCATATTATGTGTCAAAATATATTTAACAAAGGTTTGTCTTTCTAGCCTCAATCGGCCCACTAATGGCTGAGCGGTAAAGTCGTTGAACAGTAGTGATTTGCTCTGGGATTCGAATTCCGGTGAACTGGCTATCCGCATGGACGATTTCATAGATTTCTCTAACGCAATGTGTATGCGAGCCAGGTTTCCTTGGACAGCCCTACACGAAAGCATCCCTTCCTTGAGGCAGATATACCTTGAGTACTTTGCCGTAATCAAATAAACCCTCTATTTGTAATCAATCCGCTTTTTGTTTCTTTTGGAAACTCTTATAATTTAACTACTAGTACTTTTGTGCATGTAATTCAAATGCAAGCCGGTTTCCTTTAAACCTTTCCTCAGAAGAAAGCCCACGTGAGCTTTGTGATATTCAATTAAAAATATTATTTACCTTTACGTTCTTTGTTAGTTCAGGGGAGGGATTTTTAAAGCATTATTACATCAGTATCTTGAATTCAAGATTTACCTTACAAATTTAGATTGTGTTTTACGTTAAACACTTGTGCATTTAATTCTTCTTTAAATGTTTCAAAACCATTATTTATTTACCTATTAAATTACAGTTCTTAAAATACTACAAATTATGAGATGATTGTAGCTCAGGGATTTAGCCAGGGTTCTGATTTCTCCATTTCAAAGAAAGAATGTTTTTTAATTTTACAGTAAGTATGTAAAACAAATACTAATATGGATGTCACCCTAGTATTTTAATGATTTAGTGATAACATTTATTGAGAAAATAATGAACTATATTACAATATGTATTTATGTTACTAAATTATTTATTTTTAATCATACATAACACAACCTTAGCTTTGTTTATGCTACTGTTGAGATATTATATTCAAACGTTTTTAAAGTAAAAGAAGAAAGTCAAATAAGAACCATATGTTATTTTTAAAAATATGAGACATACCACAATATTTCCACGTAAATTCGAATATAGAATGTATCTATCTTACAGATTGATACTTTCTAAAACACATTTGTCAAGGATTATCAAGAAAACAAAGTTTATTTGTTGTGATCTATAAAATTGTCACAAAAGTTATGCATTAAGAAACGACTAGTTTCTTTATAGATTAACACTGCAATCCGTTAACACGCTAACAGTTTTCATAAAATTCAAAAGTTCACCACACTATTTTGCTATCATATTCATTAATGAACTAAATTACACTGCCGGCTTCTTTGAATGAGACTTTCCTGCTTTCTTTTTTTTCTTCACTGGAAATTATATATATATATATATATATATATATATATATTATATATATATATATATACTGATTATCAGAACTGTGTGTAATGAAGTTCAGTAGGTAGACTCTTTTAAGCGCTCAACGCGTTCAGTGTTATAATTTTCTTCAGCTGCAGCTAAATGACAAATATATGCTATGGAATATAAATATGGTACTACTACATGATACTACATGAATAACCGTATAGCATTGCTGCATAATTGACATTGTAGCTATTTATAGCTGGCAAGATATACATGACATGCCAGCAACAAGGTAGTAATCCTGCAACAATTGAATTAAAATGCTGTTTAATTTAAAAGAACATAAAAAATTAAATAAGTATGAATTACGTTAACCCATTAGCCGCTGGTGTTGCTTTGACGCAACGGTCACAATAAATGCGTATATAAATATAACTACCTAAGATATTTTATACCAGCAGATAATTTTGTGTAGGGAATATTATGAAGATTATTTCTGTAAAAAATATTTGCCTTCAACAATCATTTTGTTTATAATAATTAATCTCATACTTTAAGCAAAATTAAAGCAAAATTTTCGACCGGGTATTTTTGCTGAAAATATTTAACAAAAGAATCGCCGTCTTTATGAGTAATCTATTTTTAGTCAAGGTCACCGTTTATCAGAACATTACATCAGTCAGATGTTTATATTTGTGTTGGAAGGAAGGGAAAACAGGTGTTGCGCTGACGCAACGTCAGCAGGAAAACGGGTAGTCAATCTCCTTTTTCACTCATTCCTTTCGATGTTCTGGTTCATGTTCTGGTTGTTTAAAATGCCTAGAACGAGGTATCTTACATTAGAAGAAGCCCTTCAAAGATTTTTTGATGAAGAAACAGATGATGATAATGTTAATAATGACCAGAATGAAACTGATATTGTTGTTGTTCCCCCAGAAATTGCAGAGGCTAGTGACGAAGAAGAAAGGAATGGCAATGTTTTAAATAATGATAATGATATTTTACCAAATGATACTGCTGGAGGAAGTTGAAATTCACGTAAGAAGTAAGTTTCAGCCTTCTAAAAGCAGTTATAGTCATACTAAAAAGTTTAAAAAGCAGAAGACTGAAATCTTGAAGTGGATAAAAAAGGAACTGTTAGTTATGTCTCAGGAAGAACATGAAGAAAGAGATAGAAGAGAAATTATAAAAGACAAAACACAAGGTAAAACTAGTGCACAGATTTTCGATTTTCTTTTGGTTTAGACATTTACTCTCTTCTCGTTGAACAAACAAATATATACGCTCAGAAAAAAAAAAATGCCCAGAATTTATTGCATCTGAAGCCTATATGAGAAGATTTATTGGAATATTATTGCTTACAGGATATCATTCTTTACCTCAAAAAAATGTATTGGTCTTTTGATAAGGACATTTCTGTTCCTGTTGTACGAGAATTGATATCACGTTTGCAGTACAGGAATATGAAGCAGAATTTGCATTTGACAATAGTCAAATTGACAATACTGATAAATTATATGAGGTGAGACCGTATCTAAACTTACTAAATATCACCACTTTTTACTACTGGAAATATAAAGTCTCTTTTAGATTTCAGACGCGAGAATGCATTATTCCTTTTGCAAACTCCTATTGAGAGTGTAGAATTAGCCAGAAATAGATCAGCAACAGGAAGACCTAGTAAATTCAGCATTCAAAAACCATTGCATGGAGATGGTAGACATTTTATCGTAAAGTCCGTTGATAACAAAAGACTTTGTTGTAAAGAGTACCATAGCCAGACTGTTTATAGATGCAAAGTATGTAATGTAGCTTTACATCATGATTGTAATCAAGCTTTTCATGCTTGAATCTTTCAAATGAAATAATCTGTATTTGTAAAAGAAATACAATGTATATTTTAATATTAAATTAATTACAAGTAAAGTAAAGATTTGTAGATTTATAAAACGTTATACAGCTAAAAAGTAATCCTGCGCTCCACTCAAAAGAAACATCACACGAGTACAATCCTACTCACTAAACATCCGTAGTCTTATTCCGCTGACGTTGCGCGAACGCAACACTCGCTTTTTCCACAGGTAAGAGCATTTTTTTTTTATTTCAATGTAAATTTATGTTATAAATGCTTAATTTAATATTTGTTATTATTTTCATGAGAAAAGAAACATTCCTTGTTGTTTTGGCGGTTAATGGGTTAAAATGCAATTTAAATGACTTAATTACTGAATTAGCTATGTTGCTGATTTAAATCGGTTATTTAAAAATTTTAAAAACTTTTAAATAAATATTGTTATAAATTAACTAGCTAAAATTTTTATTTTCTTTTGCATATAAAATTAGTATAAATATATCTGCTGCAAAAGAGTAGACATAAGATCAATAAATACAAACAAAGAACAATCAAACAGGAAAGCAATTCAGCTTACCTACGCATTTAATCCCATTAAATACTTTATACCATTTATCGCAAGCGCAAAAGACTTTTCCAGGCATATCTCTATTTAATTTGCATTTTGCATCACCAAACTCACATTTCTTCATAAAATCTTCTGTACAGCCGTCTACAACAGAACATTTGTCTCCACTCGTACCTGAATTACATTTACAAAATTTATTTTCTGTGCATATTCCTCCGTTCTCACATTCAGAACTAGTTTGGCACATTTCTGAAATGAGAATTTCATATCAAGTAATCTTTTTATTTTATTTTTACAAAAATTAATAAGAACAAATTTATTTTCATGGGAACAGTCATAAAATGTACTTAAACCCTTACGCTGCCATTGTTGAGCTATTTATGATTTTATAAAACTTGTAACTTATCTTGAAATTAGCAATAATCTATACATAATGATTTTCACAGAATCTTTTCTTGATTTTATCTCATTTTTAATAAGCTGTAGTATTTAATTTGCGTGAAAGAAGTATAAAATGTAAGACTGAAGAAACTGAACGGATGTGACATAGAATCGACTAAATAAGACATATAGATTTATAATAAATCAACTATTACATTTTCAGTAATATATTTTATTATAAATCGATAGAATGTGTATAAAATGAGCAGTGGTATCATGTGCTATCAAAATTTGCATTGCATTTTGCATAGTATATATTATATTGTAAATCGATAATATGTATAAAATGAGCGATAATGTTAAAAATATGTTATAAAAAATTTGTTTCTGAAGAGTAGATATGATGTTTTAATTGGTATTTTGCAGCAGGTATTGCGTTTGATCTATCATACTTTCCATTAATTAGCAAACCACAAAACATTGAGAAATGTGAATGTAGCAGATTTAACATAACAGTAACTTAATTAGAAATATTCTAATGATAACCTTAACGAAAAGCGGAAAGTAAAAGCTCATGCTGAAACCAAGAGCAGTCAAGAAACACTTACAAATTCCAAGGGACATGAAAATTTGGTTGTTGTCTGTTTTCTATTGAACAGAGTCCGCTGTGAATATTTCTTTCTATTTTTTCTGGGCGCCCACCAGCGGTAGAGAGACAAAGTCCCTGAACACTGTTAGTTCGGACAGTAGCTCGAATCCCAGCGAACGGGCTGGCTGCATGAATGTTTTTGTAGTTTTTCCATGACTAACGTGTATATGAGCCAGTTTCTCTTAGGAAGTAATGATTTGAAGGACCCATGAATTCGGCCTCGAGAAAATTATGACCAGATTGTGTTGCACAAAGAGATTTAGAGGACTTTGGGGATTTTTAAATTATCTATGATACTGTGTCTGTAGACAAAATGATATGCTTGCAAATTTACAATGAAAACACGCAGGAGTTGCTGGAAGACTCCAAAGAAACATACGACAAAAAGGTGTCCGCCGATAACATCGCGGCAAAAACATCGCGGAAGAAAACGTCGCAGAGAAAACAACGCAAGGCGAAAACGTCGTGCTAAAAACATCGTGGGAGAAAACATCGCAAAGAGAAAACTTCGCAGTTCTAAAACATCGTGGTGCAAAACATCGTCGTGGAAAATAAAGCGGTTCAAAAACTTCGCAGTTTAAAAACATCGTCGTCGAAAATATCGTGGTAAATATTAAAGTATCTACAAATCATCGCGTGACGATAACGTCGCAGACATGCTTTTCTCAGACTTTAATAACTGTAAATAGATATTCCCATAATAATTTGTGAGCGCAAGATAGAAAGAAGGATAATTTGTTTTTCATATTTTATATTAACTACTAAATTTTTGCTGAGAAAATAAGAAGGAAACTTAAGCATAGAAAATTAATGCAACTTATAGCACTTAATAGAATTTTAAACCGGCATAGTTAACTAACAAAGACCATTAATAAATAATTTTTATAAAGTTTTTACTGATCATTTTTCATAAAAAGTATAATCTATAAGTTGCATTTAATTTTCTATGCTTAAGTTTCCTTCTTACTTTTTCCGCAAAAATTTAGTTAATAAAAAAATGTTAAAGTAAAAATTATCCTTCTTTACATCTTGCGCTCACAAATTATTATGGGAATATCTATTTACAGTTATTAAAGCCTGAAAAAAAGCATGTCTGCAATGTCATCGTCACGCGATGATTTGTAGATACTTTATTTTTTACCACGAAATTTTCGACGTCGATGTTTTAAAACTGCGATGTTTTCTCTTTGCGATGTTTTCTCCTACGATGTTTTGTAGCACGACGTTTTCGCCTTGCGTTGTTTTTTCTGCGACGTTTTCGTCCGCGATGTTTTCGGCTGTAACCCGACGAAAAAAACTAGATTAACATCGGAAGCAGAAACAAAGGCGACTGAATAGAAATGATTTCCAGAACAAAAGGAAAGAAACAAAGATAATTCTGCATTCTTCCAATCTCATAATTTGGGCAAAAAGGCTAATTTGCTAAGTTTAATGTAATGATATATTTTGATAATTAGTACTAAGTTACAACATAAGCATTTTGATGACAACGCCATGTCTCACTTTAAAAACATTTTGAAACGTATAGAACAAAAATCACATGTGGCAAAATTTATTGAAACGTGGGTCCCAGGAGTATCAAGCAGAGTTGCGTAGCATTAAAAGACAATAGCCTTATCCAAATAATAAAACCTTTTACCTTTCATCTTTCCCGTCTGTCTTTTTTCAAAAACATATTGTTATATATGAAAAAGTAAACGTGAATATGATAAATAGTCATTTATGCCCTGAACTCGTTTTCGGTGAAATACGGCAAATTTGAATCTTTTTTTTATTTACTTGTGATTTTTAGGCTTAAATTTTAATTATATCTGTTGATTTTATACTATAAACGTGTATACGGATACATTTTGTAAAGGCTGTGGTCATCTATTATTTAGGAATGCATTTCATTTTACATGAACTACTATGGAAGAAATAGTTTTGGCTTATGAACATTTAGCGTTAAAAATGCTTTCAACAACCACACTTAAGTATATGAATGAAACAATTGTTTTGTATAACCGAATATTTAATCGTACTTTGTTAAAAATAAATTTTAGATACATAATTTCTTCTAAGAGTGTAGTAACATATTTGAAGAAATGTCATCAAAGGTATTAACTTACCAACACATTTTTCCCCGTTAAATACTTTATACCATTTGCTGCAAATGCAAGATACATTTCCAGGTGAATTTCGGTCAATTTTGCACATTGCTTCACCTGATTCACACTTCTGAACCAATTCTTTTGTACAACCTTCAACAATATCACATTTGTCTCCACTCGTGCCTGTTTGGCATTTGCAGAATTTTTCTTCTGTACATGTTCCACCATTTTCACATTCAGTATCGTCTAAACACTTTTCTAAAAGAAGAAAATACATTACATTTTAAAAGCATTTACTACGTCTGCGTAAGCCTAATACGTATGAGATATGTCTCGCAAAAGAACTAATCAGTATTTAGGAAACAAGTCTGGCATTTAATGAAAGTTAGTTTAATACAAAACATTTCAGTCTTAAGAAAATATAGAATTTCTTAGCTTACCAACACATTTCTCTCCGTTAAATACTTTATACCATTCATTGCAAGTACAAGACACTTTTCCTGGATCATTTTGATCAAACTCGCATTTTGCATCACCTGATTCGCATATCTTCTTTATCTTGTCTGTACAGCCTTCCATTGTCTCGTATTTAATTCCATTTGTGGCAACTAAGGTTTGACAGATTGATTTCTCTATGCAGTTACCTTTCTTTTCACATTCATCGTCCTCGTTACACTTTTCTGAGACTAAAATAGAAAGAACATTAGCAGAAGAAATGGAATTTTGTTTGATTATTTGAAAAGATAAAGAAATAGGTAAAGCATTTAGTCGCGTATTTTCTTCCTGGTATACAAGTACCTTCATTTTTAGCACAAGTTCTGAAGTTTTGTCAAGACATTTTGCCTTTTATCAAGGGCATTCAGAAACTCAGATAGCGTACATTTTAAATGGACTTGGTCATCTAATATTTGCGTTCTTCTCACCAGTTGATTTTAGAGGTATAGTATCTTATTGACGAAACAATAATATTGAAAGCTTTGAAAAAAATGGGGATGTGATGATTCCTGATGATTTTTAAGATCATTATTATTTGGGAAGACAGACTGAATGATGCCAAAAACTATCACAATAATGAAGACTTGCAAACTGTAGCACACGGATAGCAGTTCCAGTAGCATTAAACGATTTAAGGCCTGGAAATATCAGAAGACGCAATAAAAACGGGCAAGATTCAAGACGTAGGAAGAAGAAATGAAGATATCTTATACTATAATTCTAAAAGTACTATGAATTATTATTAGAATGTCGGTTCCGTTTAAATAAATAATATTGTGATATTTGCCGGAAGTTTATTCATAAATAGTTTGATATTTATTATGTTCTTACACTAACCGCGTACTTCTCAAATTAAAATTTTCGCTCAATTTTCTCCTCTTACGTTTTGTACGATTAAATTATTAAACGATGTGGGAATACGGAATACGAGAGAAAATAGTGTATTTTATTTTATATTTTGTGTCACAGTTTCGTAACACTAATATAAACTACTAACAATAATTTTACTGCAAAATTAATTATATCCATCTGCCATTGTTAAATTCATTAGTTTCAAAATCATATATATTGTTACGAAATGTAAAGGCGCGGTAAGATAGCTTCCCCGCAAAGCAGTTTTAGAGTTGCCACATTTGGCGAGAAATCGCCCATTTGACGACCTTTGGCGACAAAATTGGCGATATACCACGGTTGACGGTTGGAGAACCTCCTGGAACGAATTCTTACCGGTTTAGCCCAGAATGTTCTCGAACACATGCCGAAAGCTATATAAACCCTGCTGGTCCGCAGTCAGTAAGTGTACGTTCTGATCGAGTGAGTGTGTCTCGTCTAGCGAGTCAATCCCTGCGGAGGCGATCGCGTTGACAGCCGGCTAGCGAGTGCCGAGTGGATCGTCGAGTGCGCCGAAAGAGTCTCGTAGAGTATCGCGGTTAGTGCATCGTCGAGAGAGCGTGTTGAGCTCCGAAAACGACTGAACCGAAGAGTCAGGAGCTGTGCTCTGTGTGTCGTCTAGTGCATCGCGAGTTGTAGCGTGGAGAGTCTCGAGAGTTCGTGGAGTTCCGAGAACGACCAAGCAGAGTTGGGAGCTGTACTCGGGTGCTTTGCAGTGAAGCTGTCTCCACCATTATTGCCTGACAGTGTGAAGGCTGTGTCGCTGATTGTTCCAACGTGTTTATAGTAGATCTCCAACGACTGTAAAAAGTGTTATTAGAGCTGTCCTGATTAACATTGGCTAAATAAAGTGTGTTTCGATACTTCATCCAGTGTCATCGTTATTCACTCCAAATCCACAAACCCCGTAAGACGTGAACGAAGAAAATAACGCAACAACTGGTGTCAGAAGAAGAAAGGAAAAGCGTAACAATATGCACCTTGTTACACTCATTTCGTTTTGTAGTTCAGCGTAGTTTCCAAGTGTACGTTTGAAATAAATACGGCAAATCAACTTCAATGCGGCTTAGATATTTAAAATAAAGCAATTTCCTTACCAACGCAATGACTTCCATTAAAGGTTTTGTACCATTTATTGCAGGTACAGGAGCAGTTCCCAGGCGCGTTTATATCAAATATACATTTTGCATCAGAGGATTCACATTTATTCACAAAGTCCCGTTCACAGCCCTTTATAGTTGTGCATTTGTCACCACTCGTTCCAGCCCTACATTTACAGAATTTTTGTTCGGTGCAAATTCCTCCATTTTCACAATCAACATCAGTTTGACACATTTCTGAAACAAGAACACAATATTTTGGAGGAAATGGAAAAATTTGCATAGGGAAAGAAATTTACATGATTATTAAATATAGTTTGTATCAATATACATAACTGTGCGAAAATTCTCAGGAATATTAAAAATGCAACATTGAAAAATATTAAAATTAACAGAACAGTAACTAGATATAACGATTAAATTAGTTATTTTCAATTAGTTATATAATCAAATTAGTTATTTTAAAACATGAAATAATTAGCTCATAGTTAAAAGCACCTAAAATATAAAATGCTTAACTTACCCACACACTTTTGTCCATTAAATGTTTTATACCATTTGTTGCAAACACAAGAGACATTTTTGGAATTGGTTTTGTCGTACTTGCACTTTGCATCATTAGATTCACATTGCTGAATGACTTCATCTATACAGCCATCAACGATTTCACATTTGTTTCCCCTCGTGCCTGACTGACACTTCAAGAAATTTTTGTCTATGTATTTTCCATCATTTTCGCATAGCATATTGCTTGAACATTTTTCTGAAATAAGAAAATACATCATTTCATTCGTAGAACACTCCTTTTATTTGTCAAAAACACTTTTAGTTTTGCCAAAGCATCGAGCAAGCTAGGTTGTTTTTAAAAGATACCATAAGCAAATAAACTAAATAGATACTTCTTGAATGTTTGCCTATGGACACATTGCACTAAAGTAACAAATAAAAAGCCGTTAAAACTTCGCACATTCAATGCTTTAACAAAAGGTTCAAACATCCCGTAAAATTATGACAATAATTTAACATTTTATTAATTATCAATTTAGACATTGGCTTCTCTTTTCTTTGACTCATGTCTTGTGTATTTGATCGATGAGAAAATTACGCAAATTACAACACACTCAAGAAAGTTTAAATGCTAGCGAAATTTAACAATGCTTCACGTCTTGTTCACTAAGGAGCCGCAAAATTGACAGAATTCGAAATTGACAACACTGGATTTGTTTTGCAGCGAGTTTACTATTGGTTAGAGCTCGTTGTGTCTGACATAGGTATCTCCTTCTAATTTGCAGAATAAATACACAAGCCTGTGAAATATAAACTAAATTTTCTAGTTATCCACTAATCTACAAATCAGGAAACCACATTAGAACAAATGAAATTATACAGCACTACTCACAAGAATCTAATACATATCAGCAGACTGAGTGCAATTATTCATTGAGTTAAATTTATATGTAATTACTCTAAAGTAACTAATGATAAAATTATTGGAAGACTTCTTTTTCGAAGTACTTAGCAAGAAGCAAGTGTGCCAGCTACTTTTGCTAACAATAAGGAACTGATGGAAATACAAGCAGTGCATGGTGACGGCTTGTGCATGCAGTCTGCGCATGCGCATTATGAATGAAAAAATATTGGATTCAATTAAGCATTGCACTGATATCGCAGTACGTCAAAACTACTGGATTTTCCCTCTTGAGGAGTTATACGCTTTTATTGTTCTATTACACGTTTGTGATGCTTTGGCTGCTAAGGGCTGTTCTGAGTTATTAATCCGAGACCCTGGATCTCAAACTTCTGTTGGGAAACAATACCTAGGAACGGATTCTTAGAAAAGATGAATACTTGCGCTTTGACTTGAAGTCAGCTATATCACAAAGGTTACAAACTGATGGATTTGATTTTTTTTCGGAGGCATGGATACCTTAGCTGAGAAGTGCTTATTGTGTTAAAAACCAGATGAAAGTATCTAAACGAATAAGGAGTTGTTCCTACAAAGGCTACCAGTATCCAGCACGCCATCAATTCTGCCACTAACTAGTTCATCAGTTCTCACCCAATTTTCTCTTTCCCTGCAGACGGAAAGTCAAATACAAAAAAAGTATTAGAAAAAATTGGATATAACCAAGGGACCCAAGAATGAAAGCGAAGCGGAACGCTCTTCAACGGAGTATCAAGAAGGATATTAGTGCCTTCAAGACTCTACGCTGGAATAATGTTCTCAACTTTCATGCCACTGAAGACAATTCTCTTTTTGACATAGCAATGAAATTCAAGAAAGCTTTTAAACAAATTCTCTCTCTCCATGCATTAATGGAGTGGTTTATAAAGACAAAATTACCATCTTCCCTGGTTTGCGCCTAATACCACTTCTTATGAGAATAACTACTTTTCCAAGATCAACGAAACAGTTAATACCTTCTTAAACATACCTAGTCTTCTAGATTTTATTTTTTATGTTTTACTGAAGATTGCTGCAAATTTCGTCAGCTCCTTCAAATCTAAGAGGGCTTCTTGTTCTGATGCATTTCAATAAAAGTGCTTAAACATATTCCAATTAATTATTTTGGGTGCCTAACTAAAATTGCAATTTCTGTCTTCAAGTTATCCTATTTTCTCAATGTATGGAAACATGCCATTATTGTCATTTCCCAAAGCCTCATCAAAACTCTACGTTACCACAGACCTATCGTCATATTACCCTTCTCAGTCCACTTTCAACAATTGCAGAAAGAATAGTTCTTTATCATCTCAACTAGGTGATTCCTCAAAGGTCTATTATTTCTTGAGAATAGTTTGGATTCATATGTCTTCACAGTACCAGTCACCAGTTGCTATGTGTAATTAATTACCTCACTGATGGATTCGATTGTAAATTTCCAACTTGAAACATATTCTTTGATATTGCGAAAGCTTTTGATAAGGTATGGCACTGGGGATTAAACTTTGACTTCATCAAGCTCAACTTCCTGAATCACTGCATAAGATCAATTGCTTCTTACTTTAACAATTGTACCTCTGATGTAAAACTCGGAAACATATTTTCTAGTAAGAAACATCTCTGCTGTTGGTTTCCAGGGCGCAGTTTTTTATCCTTATATATATAACATCTATATCGGTGGTTTGTCTAAAGATCCACAGGTAACTATTGCTGTTTTTGCTGATGACACAGCAATTATGAAGCAAGCCTCTACAATTATAATAGTTCGGAATCTGCTTCAGCATTATATCAATCTTCTAGAAAGGCTAGCGCTTTGGAAGATTACGGTCAATACTGACAAATCCAAAGCAATTATTTTTTGTGAAGGACACTTGAACTTCATTTCATCAAGACCAATACTGTTCCATTAAGGAATTAACTGGGTTGATGACGATAATATCCAGGAGTTATGGTAGACAAGAAAGTTAATTTTTCGCAAGCGTCAAAGAGAAACTGTTTAAAAAACCAACATCACTTTTGAAACAGTGAGATATGTACTTGGAAGAAGGAGTCACATGGCCCGTCCTAACAACCTTATCTTGTATAAATCTGTTCCTCCATCTGCTCTACTTTATGGTAGCCTAATACCACGTCGCATAAATCCAAGTTATGTAAAACAAGTCTCATGGAGAAATTATTAACTTTTCTTCGTTCATTCTCAGTTTGTATATTGCATTCAAAGCTAGACAGAAATTATTTATATTCAGTTCTCACACATTCTAACAACTGCGTTAACTCACTTCCCTATTCACTATTGCTCAGAGAACAGCATAAGTACTCCTCTGACATTCTAAATCCATAATATGTTTTACTCATATCTGATTCCTCTTATCCATTTATATTGATCTTCCACCTGTAAATCACTTTTCATTTTTTTCGTCAAGTGACTGCGGGAACTTAATGTATTTTTTCTTCAGTTTGCTTACACTCCTTTTATTTTTCCTACTGATGGTCATTCAACTCATATAGGTTAAACGGAAGTTTTGCTCCCTGATACTCTAATAGAACAAATGTTTGTAGTAGTGGTTTAAAGAACAGATGTGTTTTATTTTAGCTGAAATTAAACGAAACTGAACTCACGATTGGTTAAGTTAGGTTATTTGAATATGGAGAAGCACACGAGTGCTATCTTAAATAAAAAGATGCCTTTGCGGAAATATTCTAAAGGAAACTGTCTCGTATTCACATTAGACATTTGAGCTCAGAAATAAAGAGACAAAAAACGAGAACGAATAGATATTCCACAAGAGAGAAGTTTTCTTAAAAAAGCACCACAAGATGCCCTTCTCATACCGACACTATTTGAGCGTAATCGTATTTGGTTTGGTTTAATTAATTCTGCCAACGTACGCCACTGATCTGTCTAAGGTGAAGAAAACCTTCGTGGAAGACGTCCTCAGGAAAAATGATTCGTATTCGCTTTACATCTGAGGAAATCCAGGAAAATTAACATGGAGTTAGAGAAGCCTTTTCCGTAATTTTTATAAATTTTAATCCAAGTCAAAGTACGAGAGTCCAACAACTTTACTGATTGACAGGCCGGTTCTCCAAGAAACATGTATTCTAAAAACGCGCAGTTGGGATATGTAAACATTTTCGAAATTTCACTATTCCTCAGCTCATGCTCAATAATAAGAAAAAAAAGGCCCATATTAAATATATTATAAAAATTTGCATTTAAATTTTAAAATATTAACTACTAACAGCTTGATTTAACAGTTAGACAGCAGAGAACATAGAAAGCACGTATTTTATATATAGAGACTATTTAACAATGAAGTACGTTACAGAAAAAATTCTGAAAATATCGTTAGGGAATATATAACATATATAAAATTTTCCAGCGTATTTATCAATTGTGTATGTGTTATTACTATGCCAAACAACGAAAACAAAAATTTTTCATAATCATTTTGTGTATAATTAAATATATTAAACTTTAGGACAGGTTAATTTTAGAACGTTAATTTACGCATTTATGACATGTAATTTTTTTCTTTTCTTTATGAACATTTAAAAGTTACTAAATTCAGGAGTCTGCATTTTCTTCAGAACACGAAAGTGCCCCAAAATTTGTCAAGTATGCAGTAACATTACATTCATCCGAACCCTATGTACAGGTGCACGTAGTTGTTTTGGTTCATTTAATTACGGCGAAGCAGTCGAGGGCTGTATGACTAAGGGGAGGAACGCATAGTACCAGACCTTTAAATGCGTTGATACGCCTCAGTTTTGAGGAAGAACACTTAACGGAGTGATCTTGGGGTCTCCTGTCCTTTTCCTCCAAAGAATCTCTAAAGTGAAGAAGTAAAGGTTCCCCGGGGCAAATGTGGCTCCGTCAGGCCGAAGAGACACATTATGTATATCCCTGAAGCTTACTTTAAAGGGGCAAACCATTCCAAAGCTATCCACCCTCCGTACCTCAATGCGCATGTGCGAAATAACATCAGAAGGCAACAAAGCAGCATCAAAGAATGCGGCATGCCGTCAGCCATGTTAGCAAGCTTTTACCACGTTGTTCGAAAACGTTCTTTGTTGTTGTAGTCAGAGGTACTTGGTTTTAGCTATGTGAAATTCTTTTAAAGACTTTTTAAATGTAATGCTGTAAGTGAAATGGTTTTGGCTATTGGGTGAAAACTTTGCTCTTGGTTTTCACAATGGTCATTCCAAATAACTGTCTAAACGTTTTCATGGTAATTTGTTTTTAAAGTTGTTGTCGGATAATTATAATGTATTTCAGTGTTTTCAATTTATTTAGGGGTGCCTTTAATTGTCTTTAA